CATGGGAAGTTCATAAATGAGGTCAATGAGCCTTGGGTAGCATATGGATTAGTAGAAATGGCTTAATTTAAGTTGTAAAAGCTAGTTAAAAGTACGTCTAAGCTATCGGCCTAGCATTTATAATTAATAAGTCTCTATGTGGTTATTTGGAAACTGGCTGGTGGGACAAAACATTCTGCTACAAATGGCACCCTCTGTCAGGCAACATAGATCCACATAAAGCCCGAGACTGTTTTAAAAAAGGTTCCAAACACACAAAAACAGAACCATGCATGGCTTCCTAGGCTCTCAGTCTCATGCCAACTTCAGTGCAAAGATGCATCTCCCAGCAGCAGCCTTCGGGATGGAGTGAAGCCAGCTGACTAATGCCGTGCACTAAGCTAAGCAGAGTCAGGGCTGAAATAGTAGTTTAAGATTTGTCTCATATGATCAGAAAATAATACAGATGCCCAGCAAAGACAGGTCCAGATGGAAAAAACCTCTAAACTGTTATAGTGTGTTTAAAGTATATATATAAACTTGGGAGATTAAAGAGAAAGGGATATATACATTCATATAGAATAAAAAAGGTTAAAGCAATAACATCCTTAAAAAAGAATAAAGTAATAAAATTATAACAAGCCACATAAAGATGGGAAATAGACATGTCTGTAAATTTTCTGGTGGAAGGAATGGCAGCTGCTAAAACACATTGGATTATGAAAACGGCTAGATTAAACCAACCTATATATTTTAAAAGTGTCTTGACTTCCAAATGGAAGTCAAAAGTTATGTCACTTTGGGAAATAGGTTATGCTTTTATTTCCATGGAAAACTAGAGGCTATGTATTCATACCAGGTTGATATGGGTCAGGTTTGATTGGGGAAGTCCCCCTGAAAATCCTGCCTACAGAATAAAGAAATAAGCCTAGAAAAACTATAAAACACAGATATTTTACCTGCTCAAACATAAAACAACAGCAAAAACATCTTTGGCTAATTCATGTACAATGCATAGTCTATACTTGTATTATTACAAATATGTATGTTATCTTTAAAAGTTTATGTATTTTCAGAACAAGGAGACCAGACACCAATGAAAATGAATGGTCCAGGTAATTCAGCATGTCAGAATGCCTCTGTTAGTCTCCTCAAAATTCTATGTCCAAAACAGCTTCCAGGCTGCTGGCTGTCATGACCCCAAAGATTCCAGTACCCACAAACAGCAGGAAGCAGTCTAGAGAACATCATCCACATTCCTAAGAGATAGGGTATAGGTGGGTTTTGGTTATTCAATAGATTATGAATGTTTGTCATTGTGTTCAGGGGTGCTAGTGACAAGTTGCTATTGGTCACAGTCAGAACAAAAACTAAAGAAATAAATTCAAAGATTTTTTTAAAAGAGAAAATGGGGGATATGATATAAGAATGACAGGATAAAATAGTAGATTATTAAATCTACTTTAATCCAAAATACACCCATGAATCTCAAAATATTTTACATTGGTATGGATTTTGGTTTATTGATACAAATTTAATTTTCTTATACTTTATGTCTCTACTCTTGTTTGGGGCATTGTGTTTATGCAGCTCACTTAAAATTGTAATGTACAATTAAGAAATTCAGATTAATATGTAGTCATCTATAATAGTCAAGCTTTTTATAATTAGTGAGACTTATAGTCATGTTATGTATGTTTTCAAGGCCATATGCAGATGTATTTAGATTGACAGATGATCTTCAAACACTTCAAAGACCTATAAAATCTGGCATTTAATGTGTTTAATAACCCTAGGCTTTCCATGGCAGTGAGACATGTCTGCTCCTGACAGCACAAATTTGCTTCAAAAGAGGATGAAGGGCATCGAAGAACCTCTGTGTCCAGTGCTCACTTACTCGTACAGATGGGATTTAGAGTCACTCTGCCAGGTTCTGAGGTTGTTCCACAAACTTATCCTGTCACTTGTTCTGGTAACTGATTTACATAATTCATGGTAGAAATCATAACAATTTTCTTAATAACTATTAAGTATTTAACTAGATGCCTCTGGGTCTTCAAAGAACTACTTATCTGGGAAATCAGCAAAAAAAAAAACAAACCTGAAAATGTGTTTAAAAAATAAGTATACTACAAAGATATATTTTAAACAAATAAATAGATTTTCTGTGTAAAATTATAACTACTTGGAAAATATAGAGAATAAAAATCCTGGTCATAATGCCAATCTGGAGCTCAGATAAACACGACAAAACTCTACCAGATAACTATGAGAGAAGGAAAAGGATGGCATAAAGGTATTACTTTGATCGAATGGAAATTATGTGCAGTTGTAATCAGAATCTCTGTAGGCACTTTTTGAAGGAAACTATGCCAAAGGGATTCTAGTATTTGTAAAGAAGAAAAGATATTCCAGAATTATCTAAGAGCATTCTGAAACAGCAATTAGAGAATACTAGGCCTCTTAAATAGGAGAGAAGTTTATGAGACTGTAGTCAGCACTTACTAGTTCACAAATGATAAATCAGGAGATCTCCCAGCATAGTCAAATATATATGTCTTAGGTAGGGTTTCTATTGCTGTGAAAAGACACCATGACCATGACAACTCTTTTAAAGGAACATTTAATCGGTATGGCATTTTCAGAAGTTAATTCCATTACATGGTGGTGTGCAGGCAGACATGGTGCTGGAGAAGTAGTTGAGTATCCGACATCCTGCCTTGCAGGCAACAGGAAGTGAACTGAGGCACTAGGTGTGGCTTGAGCATAGATGAGACTGAAAAGCCCGCCTCCACAGTGACACACTTCCTCCAACAAGTCACACCTGCTCCAACAAAGCCACACCTCCTAATAGTGCAACTCCCTTTGGGGCCTGTTTTCTTTTAAACAACCACAATACACACACATTGCTATCTGATAAGTCAGTGGCAAAACATGAATTATTTAGCACTAGTATCACATAACTATTAGCCATTTGCATCAATTAGACTTCTGTCAGCTGACTCTCACATGAATCTTTATAAAAATCAAATATGCATTCCCAAAAGAATAATAAACATACTATTGACAAGCAGAATGGTGTTCATCACTCAGTCCGACTGAAAGTTTTTCCAAGCATCCGTGAAACCAGCAACCATCTAAGTCAAGGCAAAAATGTGACTGCATGCAAACCCAAGTTTTTTACAGGGAGACTGGATGACCGTGTGTGGAGTAATCTTGCTAGAATGCCAACTACATATATATCTCTCTTGTGTGTCTGCAGAAATATCTTGAAAATTATGGTTGTGATCCCCTATGTTGTTGGGAGCAAGGAAGACCCAAGGCTTTCTGGTGGTCCTGAAGAAAGGACAAAGGGAACATTAAGTTCTGTGTCCAATAGCAGATGTGGCAAGGTCCTCTCTGGGGCTGGGGCCAGGGCCTTGAAAAAAATCAGTTGTGGTTTCCAGTGATCCAACTCTTCTGCCTGGGCTGGGGTTATCAGTTCTAACAAAGCTGTGTCTTAAACATCCTGTGTTCTTTTTGCCAACATTAATTTAGTGCTCTGTTGACCTTGGTCATTTTTCCCTTTTAATAATAAACATACTTGGCATAAATCATTGCCTTATGCAAGACCTCCTGGCCCCAGCCATCTGTCTTCTTTATTTCCCATTCTATCCTCCCCCTTGATACCTTGCTATTTGGGACCTTTATTCCTATAGATTCAGGTCAGATGTTACTATCCCTGTGTACTTATTCTTTTGAGCAGAAGAAATCATTTTTATAGGCACAACTGTTTTATTAGTAGCTTCAAGGAACATCAAAATTATTCCAAGTTCCTACGAAACTTTGCAAAGAATTGCCACTGGCATCCATACTTACCTCATAGAAGATCAGTAACAAGCAGTCTGGTAAGCTTAAGGTAGTAGAACTCAAAGTCTGAATTACTTTTTTGCTGAGTAGTGATAACCCAAGCTATTGGGCAGCACCCCAGTCTGAAGACGCTAAAAGCCAGTTGTGTTAACCTTCCCAGTTATTGCCCCAGATAATGTCCTGACTCGCTCCAAGATTTGCAGCTCCTGGGAGACGGGCATGAGTCAATAAGTAGTTGAGGAAGGGGATTCTGGTGGCCACATAGCAGTTTTGCTTTCTTATTTTACTTTACCTTATTTACACTTAGTTTTTGAGTAGGTGGCAGCTGGCTCATCATTCTGGAGATTACAGTCTTCCTCTCTATGCAGGGAAACTGAGCTATTGTGAAATATAAGTGAAACTGGAGGGTGGGGAATGCTTTACACATAGATTGTTGCTTTTGTTACCCATGAAGTAGTGATAGTGGGGAGAAGTTAAATAGACTCAAAGAAGAACCAACTGGTTGGTGAGATTCATAACTTTCTTCTTTTGTTTTGTTTTACTTCTTTGTGTATGTTTGTGTGTGCAGGGTACATGTGGGAGCCAGAAGACAATCACAAACGTCATTCAGCAGCCACCTATTTTGGGTTTGTTTTTATTTTATCTCTCTCCTTTCTTTTATTTAAATTAGAAACAAGCTTGTTTTACATGCCAATCCCAGTTCCCTCTCCCTCTCCACCTCCCCTGCCCTCCACCAACCCTCTTCTGCTCCCCAGGGAGGGTGAGACCTTCCATGGGGGATCTTCAAGGTCTGTCACATCATGTGGAGCAGGGCCTAGCCACCCTGCCCCCACCCATGTGTCTAAGCTGAGAGAGTATCCCTCTTTGGAGAGTGGGTAGAGTGGTGATATCTTGCACAAATAAAACCTGCCTGGGGGTCAGAGTATGGAGCTTACCACTAGCTAATCATAGAGGTCTGGAGGTCTGTACAGACAGGCAGGAAGTGACATAGCTGGGTAGTAGCAGTACATAAGCAAGAACAAACAGGATATCGCTCTCTTCTCTGTGGAGACGCTTAGGAGGTAAGGTCTGCTGTGGCTTGCTCCTTCTCTCTGATCTCTCAGCATTTCCCTCTATATCTGACTCCAGCCTTTTATTATCTAGACCAATTTAGGCCTCCGATTACAAACTGGTGACCAACGTGGGACAGGAACCCACAGCCCTGAGATTAAGAGTCTCATGCTCTACCGACTGAGCTAGCCAAGCCAGAGAAACTCACATTACAGGATGGAGCCGCTATCTTGTTTTCTGACACTTTCTCCTTAGGGCTCACTGAGTAGACAGGGCTGACTGGACAATGTCTACCTCTCTCTACCTTCCAGTACTGGGAGTCCAGGCACATACCTTCATACCATGCCTTTTCTGTAGGTGCTGGGACTGAACTCAAGTCTTTTCTACTGTTAGGTCATTCTTTTTGTCTTCTCTGAAGTTTCCATGTCCTATGAGCTGGTGCTGAGCACTGGCATTCACCTCCCTTTGCTTCTTGTCTGTGGGTACCATGTAACCCTTGCTGCATGCCTTCCTGCGACAATGGATTGTATCACCATGGGTCAAAATAAACTACTCCCTTTGGGGGATTTTTGCCAGGCAATTTTTTTTTCCGCAGCAATGAGAAAAGTACCTAAGTTATGTGCTGAATCATTTCCTTTGGATATATGCCCAGGAATGATATAGCTGGATCAAATAGTAATTGCAAATTTAAAGATTTTTAATTTTTTCCGTGTCTGTATTATGTCTGCCCGTATGTTTGTGTACTGCATTCATATCTTGTGTCCTCAGAAATCATAAGAGGGGGTCAGATTGCCTGGACCTGGAGTTATGGATACCTGTGAGTCATCACATGGGTGCTGGGAACCAAACCGGGACCTCTGTGAGATCAACAAGTGCTCCTAACCACTGAGTCATCTCTCCAGCTCTAGTAATTGTATTGTTAATGTTTTCATGAATCTAGATACTGTTGCCCATGGTGCTTACATTTATACCAGCAGCGTATAAAAGTTTATTACTTTCCATATCCTTGACAGCATCTACTATTATCACTGTTATTTTACTGTTATTTAAAATGATAGCCATTTGAACTTGGGTAAGGTGGAGTCTCAAGTTTTCACTTATACTGTCCTGATGGATTCATGATGGTCAGCATTTTTCATCTATTCATCAGCCATTTTTCTGCTTTACTTTCATTAGTTTAGCTGAGTTACAGAGTGACGGACTTCATTATGATATTTCATACATGTATCCTTGTGATTTCCATGCGTTCTTCTTTTCCCCACACAAGGACCCTCTCAGCTCATCCGCATATGGGAGAACACATCCTATGCATGGTTCTTCGTTTTACCCGTTACCTTATCTCGCTGTCCTCTCTACATCCCTCTTTCCCACTCATTGCCCCTGTATCGTCTCCCCCATGTTTTCAGTGTTTGAGAGGAAACATGCTGTGTCTGTTCTGAGTATGGTCCACTCATTTTCCAGAAAATAAGGTAATGCCATTCTTCCTTTTAAATTTTATAATTAGTTTTTTAGATATGAGTACCGTATGCCATTTCCTCTCCCTCCAAATCCTCCCATGCTCCCCCTTCTTGACTTCTTCATTTTAATTACTGTTAGGTGTATATATATATATATATACATGCATACATATGTATGTATAAATATAGCCTGCTGAGTCCATTTTGTATGACTTTTATGTTTGTGTATGTGTTAGAGCTGAATGCTTCTACCTCTCTCCGCTTCCATTAATTGCCTGTAGCTCTTCATCTAGAAGTAAGGCCATGGGAGATTTCTCCCGTCGATGTTGGAGTGTCAGCCGCCATAATGTTGAGGTTTCATGGGTGTACCTTCTCTGTCATTTATAGAAGACAACATCCCACAACAGACTTCACAGCTCTTGCGATCTTTCTCCCTCTTGTCCACGATGTCCCCAGAGCTTAAGGCGTGTGTTGTAGATGTTATCAGTTGGGCATGCACAGTACACAGTCAGTTGTTTTCTGCACTTTGACTAGTTGTCGAGGCTAGCACTCATTGTTTCTGAAGATGCCATGTGTGCTGCCAAGAAATAAAAGCAATCAACAGCCCTCCCACACTGCAAAACCTATAAATCATAGCAAGGACAAGCACAGCAAGACCGTCCCATACATACTAGCCGTGGGGGTGGGAGTCTTGCCACATTTTTTTTGAGAAATATTTTTTAGATTATTTGTCAATTTTGAAATTGGATTACTTGGTTTGTTGTTGTTGCTTTTTTAGGGATGTATCTGGATTAGTAACCATCTTTCAAACAGCTAGAAAAGATTTTGCTCCCACTCTTCGGGCTGTCACTTCATTGGGTTATTTCTTTTGCTTTGCAAAACCTTTTAAACTGGATAGAACAGTATTTGTTTAAGCTTATGTTGACTTCCTGAGCTACTGACATCATACCCAGGAAGTTGTTGTCTGTGTCAACATCTCAGAGTGCTTCCCCCTATGCTTTCTTCAAGTAGATTCAAAGTTTCAGGTGTTTTGTTATATGCAGTGGTCTTTTACCTACTCGGCACTGGTTTTGATTATGTGTAGGCATTCAGGTTTTACAGGTACATTTGCTGAAGAGCCTCCCTTTTCTCTGTTTTTCACTCTTTGCTTACGGTCAGGTGGCTGGATTTATTCCTGAGCCCTCTTTTCTGCTCCAGTGGTCTGTGTGCTTGTTTTTATGCTAGTACCTTGTTGTGTTACTATGGTTCTGTAATAGCCCTTGTAGTTGATTAATGTAATACTTCCAACTTTATTGCTTTTGTTCAAGATCATTATGGTTATTTCATTATTTTGAGCTTATTGTGAGTTTTAAATATGTTGAATATTTTGTATTTATTTCCCATTTGTTCTTCTTTTGAGAATTGCTTATTTTGTATACCTATTTCTTGACTGTTTTGTATATAATTTTGTGTTCTTCATAAATTCTAACAATATAGTTCTTAATAGATACTAATCATTTGTCAGATGACTGCTTGGAAAAGAGTGTTTACTCATCCTGTGGGATGTCTTGAGTGTATATTTTACTGTGAAGAAACTTTTTAATTCCATGCAGTCCCACTTATCAATTCTTATGATAATTTTCTGCCCACTTCACTATGTCCTATGCTTATATCTTGAAGTGTTTTATGTATCTTTTCCTCTAGCAATTTCAAAGTCTCAGGTTTTACATTCAAGCCTTTAATGTGTTTTAAATTATTTTGATACAGAGCATTGGAGAGCAATCCACTGTCATTTTGTCTGTGGGAATCCTGTTCTCCAGGAACCACTTACTGGAGAGACTGTCTTTTGCCCAACTTGAGTTTTTTGACACCTATATGAAAAGTCACATTGGTTACCTGAAAGAGTTTATTTCTGGGTTTTCTATTCCATTAATCCACATGCCTGTATTAACACTGACATGTGCTGTTTTGTTAGTATTTTTCTGTATTATAACTTGAAATGAGCATTGTTATTTCTGCTCAATACTGTTTTTGGTTATTTAGAATCTCTGGGTTTCCATATGTGTTTTAGGATTAATTTTCATGGTTCCATGAAGAACTTCATGGAATTTATTATTTGGGTTACATTGAATCTCTGGGTCACTTTTGGTAAGACAGCCATCTTCACCACATGAACTCTTAGGATCTGTGCACATGGCACATCTTTATTCTTCTAGTATTTTCTTCAGGGTCTTTCTTCAGTGTTTCAGAGTTTTCAGTATAGAGGTCTTTTGCTTTCTTGATTAGGGCTATTCTTAGGTAATACATTCTACTTACTGATTTATTTTGAGACTGTTGTAAATATGTCTGTTTCCCTCGTTTTTCTCAGCATGGTCCTTATTGGTGTACAGAAAAGCTACCCATCTACTGAAAGTACTTATCATATCTAAGCATTTTCCAGTAGAGTCTTTAGGGTCTTTTCATTATGAGATCCTCTCGTTTGCAATTACAAATATTTTCTTTTTTCCTTTTAAAATATTTTATTGTATTAAGTATACATAATAGTGAGTTTCACTGTGATGGTTTCATACATGGCCATAACATCCTTCAATCATATTCATCCAGGAGCCCTCATTCCCACTCTTGTTAAACCCCTTCATCTTCTTGGCTTGTTCTCCTTTAATGTTTGGGGTTTTGATTGTGTGTGTGTGTGTGTGTGTGTGTGAGAGAGAGAGAGAGAGAGAGAGAGAGAGAGAGAGAGAGAGAGAGAGAGAGAGAGAGAGAGAGAGAGAGAAACTTAATAAGTTCCATGGGGTTGTCTACAGAAACAAAGGTGAGAGTCTGTTTATTGGTACATGGGCACATTACCAGTGACTACACCACTGAAGAAAATGTCTTTCTCTTTCCAATAAACCACTGACTGCACGCAAATCCTTTGAGTGATATGGAGCCTGGTGAGCCCCTTGCCCTCTGATGCCAGTATGATGACAGGTCCAGTCTTATGCAGATCTTGTGCAGGTAATCCTAGCTACTATGAGACTGAGAATGTTGAAGCCATGTTATTCCTATAAGTCAGTATTCCATATCTCTCCCCACTCTTTTCTCTGGCTCTTACCTTCTTCCTGCCCTCTTTTCTATAAGGCTCCCTGAGCTTTTGAGGGAGTGATATAGATATCTCATTTATGGATGCCCATTGAACAGTCACTTCCTCTCAGTAGTTTATTTAGTGATGAGTCTGCAGTCATCACTGGCCACTGCAAAGAGAACCTTCTCTGGACAAAACTGATGGATGCACTGTTGATGACTTTTATGGGCACCTCTTCTTTGCTTCTTATTTTATCTCTTCTAATAGCTCTGTGTGTGTGTGTGTGTGTGTGTGTGTGTGTGTGTGTGTGTGTGTGTCTAACTGTAGTTTGTCTGTATATACACATGCATGTGTGGTGTTTGCACATGTGTGTATACTTGCACACACAGGAGTGTAGGGACCAGAAATTGATACCAAGATGTCCTCATTCGTTTTTTCCCTCTTACTTTTGAGATAAGGTCTCTCACTGAACCTGGAGCTCTCCATTTTGGCTAGGCTGGCTGACCACTGGAGTCTGCAGGATCTGCCTGTTTCTGCCTCTAGCACTGACATTACCAATGGACGCCACCACAACTCATTGCTTATGTAGGTGCTAGGGATCTGAACTCATGTTTGTGCATCAGTCACTTTACTCACAGACAACTGCCCCCCTCCAGTAATAGACTATTGCCTAAAAGCTAAAATTATCTACAATATTCCAGGTGGTAGAACATATAATTTCACATGAATTTTAGACAAGATAACTCAAAGAATATAAATGTTTAGTTTCACTATATATACTTTATACAAACATTTCATTAATTTTTGATACACACATAATTTGTTTAGCAAGGAAATCAGTTATAGTTACAAATGAGAAAGTATAAATAAAAGTATATATTATGAAGCATTTACTTTTAATTCTTTTATAATTTTATAGTGTAATTTAAATGATTACTTTCCATTTGATGATATATCTATTTCTGTCCCTTTAATTACAAGGTCTCTGAAAACTCTAAACTGGACTAAATGCTTCTCATTATGACAGAAAATAGATAACTGGTTATTCTAGTACATACATACTTTCTTTTAAGCTTTGGTTAAATGCTATGCGTTAATACAAATATTAAAAATATTTAACATCTTACATGGTCACAGTTCACGAGCGCTTTGCTCCGGCCTGCACACTGACCATGGAGAAATAGATGCCTTTCTGTGCCAGAAGCTGCTGGTGGGTGCCGTGCTCCTTGACCTTGCCATTCTGAATCACCACGATCAGGTCTGCGTTCTGGATGGTGGACAGGCGGTGAGCGATCACGATGCAGGTGCGGCCTTCCCTGGCTTTGTCCAGGGCTTCCTGGACAACCTGTGGACAGCCACACAGAAGATTTATGGCAAACACAGTCCTCTCCCCACAGTCCCCTCCATGACAGGCCCCAGGACTTTTACTCTGCCCTTCAACCGTGGTGCTGGAGGTGGAAGGGGGCAGAAATCGGAACCAAGGTTTCAGTCCCACCAGGAGAGAAGTGGACCCCAGTTTGGATGAGTTCTGAGACACACAAGGTAAGGGCAGTCAGTAGCGTCCATGCGACCATTTATAAACACTCAGGCCTTGCCACACAGCACGCCTAAAGCAGTTCTCTAGCCAGCTCCGCAGAGCATCAGGAAGCTGGAGCCATCACCAAAGCCATCACAGCCGTAGGCACCAGCAGCAAGTGTGTTAGGGCACGGCCAGACTTCAGCTCTTCACAGGCTGCTGCAGAGACCCCGCCTGCAGGAGCAGCTGCTGCCAGCATGCAGCTTGTAGACAGACACCATGGAGCATGAGGGTCCAGACTAGTTCCCCCTCATCACTTCAGGTCTCCTAAGTCCCAGCTGCAGGCACGTTTAAACTCCACTGGGAGCCAACAGGGCGACGCTCAGCTACTGACTCAGTGTTATCTGCCCTGGCAGAGAAAGATGTCACCTCACATCCTTACCTTTTCACTCTCTGTATCCAGAGCTGACGTTGCTTCATCCAGAAGCAAAATGTGAGGCTGCCTGACGAGGGCGCGCGCTATGGCGATGCGTTGTTTCTGCCCACCGGACAGCTGAGTCCCTTTGTCTCCTACTCTGGTGTTGTATTTCTGTGAACAGAATTTGGTTGTTCTGAAAGCAGAGCTGATGACAAAGTGCAAACACTCTGTGACCACAGAATATATAATTTTCTAATATATATATAACATATACTATAAAACATGGGTTTAACAGTCAAAATCCAAGTATGAAAACCAAATCTATGGCTCACTCATCAGTATCATCTGGGCTTTTAAGTCTCAGAGCCCTGGACCCTCCTGCCAAGTGATTCTTCTTCACCAGAGATAGGATGGGGCCTGATAATTTGTACTTCTAAAGACTGCCAAGGTGCTATTGACCCACACGCAGGCCTTGAGAGTCAGCGACTCTTATTAGTAAGGGTGACCAGGGTTTTGTTCTTTGAATGTTTGAGTCTCAGAAAGTTAATAATTCTTGGTTGGACCACACTGAGGTAATCCGTTTGATAATAGCAGTCATTTGTGAAAAGGTCAAAGGAAAAGAGAGCTTTAGAGGATTGTTTGGGCCACCTGGTGTTCATGCTTGCCTGGCTGGTTTTATCATGCGCATATTCTGTAATAATGAACATAAGTAGTGATGATGGAAGAGTGTATCCTATTTATGGAAGATCCATTAAAAAAATAAGACCTAAGAAGGTGAGAGGTTCAATTACAGGAAGCAGTGAGGGAACTCCATAGGACAATAGCCCAGGGAAGACTTTGATAGTCAACTCTAAGATTGTAGCTAAGGACTCTACAATGAACGGTACAGCAATTCTAGATTATATAATGCCACAGCCATCCTATTGACTCAGCTCCATTCGGAGAACTTTCTTTGTGGCATGAGCGGGGGTCTCTAGTCTGGCCTAACTCCATAGTGACACTTGGATCACCAAAGGGAGCTACAGAACAATCACGCCTGTTTCCTCTGCAGAAACAGTGCAGCCTGCATGGAGGCTAGAGGCTTCCTGTCTACCCTTCACCTGGGCGGGGATACTCAGATGTATCTGTAGGCTGGAAACAGGTGGATCCTCGAGCTCACAAACTGAAGGGCTGTTCCGAAGTAGAGCCTTGAGCCTGCAAACTAAAGGGCTATTCCAGTCCTCAAAGTTCCTGCCTCTTCTACTTGACTAAGTCTACTATTCAGTTCCTTCCTCACAATGACTGGTAAGGGATTGGGCAAATATAACCTCTAACTCAGGTAAGAAGTATGGATAGATGCCTCTCTGCTGGTAAGATATATTCTGGTTGCTAATTTCTCTTTACCTTTGGGCAACCTTTTAGGTTTCTGATGACAGGCCTGGGGTACAGCTCAGTGGCAGAACACTTGCCCGTCTTGTGTAATGCTCTGGGTTTCATCCCCAGAGATGGGGCAGCATCAAAGAGAAAGTGAAAGGAACGGCTAACTAGCGGGCCCACGGTACGTACGTCAGGCAGCGACTCAATGAACTGGTGGATGTTGGCCTCCTTGGCCGCCCTCACGATCTCTTCCTGGGACACGACCCTGCTGTTGTCTCCATAGGCGATGTTCTCGGCGATGCTGCAGTCAAACAGGATGGGCTCTTGGGACACAATGCCCAGGTGTGCTCGGAGCCACTGGACATTCAGTTGCTTTACTTCTTTGCCATCTAGAAACTGGGAGCAAGGGTTCACAGGTCAACTTCAGCACCAGCGCGATTCAGATTTAGTAAAGCTACTGCCGTTATTTCATAGTACAAATGACATTAAGGAAAAGGCTGTCTGGTTGATTTTTTAATTGACATGAGATAATGGGTTAAGTATTATATTTTTATGTGTATATATCAGTCAATGTACTTTCCTTTGATTTGTCTCTCACTACCTCTACAACTCTACAGCCTGAGATAAGTTCTCACTCTGTAGCCCAGGCTGGCCTGGAGCTCACACTGTAACTCGGGCAAGTCTTGAATCCACGGGAATTCTCCTTTCTCAGCTTCCAAAATACTGAGACTATAGAGATAAACTACCAGCAGCAGGATCTTACAACTCTTTTTACACAAATATTTAATAATATATTTAATGAAACAGTATATTCATATTTATTGAGAATTTAATCAGAGTTTGAGAACCAGCATTTACTAATTTTGAATGTAGTAATAACATTTAGTCCTGTGTTCAAACTTCAGTGATAAAACTGAAACTTGAAATCAGAACTCTAAGAAAATAGTTTTTTAAAAAGACAGCAAATTGCCAGGCAGTGGTGGCACACGCCTTTAATACCAGGACTTGGGAGACAGGGGCAGGCGGATGTCTGTGAGTTCAAGGCCAGTCTGGTCTACAGAATGAGTTCTAGGACAGCCTCCAAAGTCACAGAGAAGCCCTGTCTCGAATACCCGTCCCCCCAAAAGGCAGTAAGTTAGCACAACTCTTTTAACCGTAAAGAATTGATGCAGTAAGGTCTTAACTGGTGTGTGTGTGTGTGTGTGTGTGTGTGTGTGTGTGTGTGTTTATTTATTTTGTTTTTACAATCTGACCACACACATACACATCCATTCCTCCACTGTTTCTCTTCAGGGTAGGCCTTCCATGGACATCAACCGCCATGGTATATCAAGTTATAATAAGACTAGGCATATCCTCTCCTATTAAGGCTGGTTTAAACCCAGTTTGAGGAAAGGGCCTCAACAGCAGGTAACAGAGTCAGAGACAGCCCCTGCTTCCACAGTTAGGAGTCCTACAAGAAGACCAAGCTACAATTGTAACAATATGCGGAGGGCCTAGGTCAGTCCCATGCAGGCTCCCTGGTTGTTGATCCAGTCTGGGAGCCCCTGTGAGTCTGGTTAATTGATTCTGTGAGTTTTCTTGTGATGTCCTTGACCCCTCTGGCTCCTACAGACCTTCTCCCCCATCATAACCAGTTTTGAATAAAACAGAAAAGAGGTCATCAGCAGGGCACTGCTGGTGCACGCCTTTAATCCCAGCACTCTGGAGGCAGAGGCAGTTGCATCTCTGTGAGTTCAAGGTCAACATGGTCTGTAGAGCAAGAAGAAGAAAAGAAGAGGAGGAGGAGGAAGAAGAAGAAGAAGAAGAAGAAGAAGAAGAAGAAGAAGAAGAAGAAGAAGAAGAAGAAGAAGAAGAAGAAGAAGAAGAAGAAGAAGAAGAAGAAGAAGAAGAAGAGAAGGAAGGAAAGGAAGGAAGGAAGGAAGAAAGAAAGAAAGAAAGAAAGAAAGAAAGAAAGAAAGAAAGAAAGAAAGAAAGAAAGAAAGGAGAAAGAGGACATCCTGGTCAACAAAGAGAGGTCCAGGATGGCTAGGGCTGTTAAAAAACCCTGTCTTGGAAAAGAAGGAAGGGAGGGAGGAAGGGAGGGAGCGAGGAAAACTGATTCAAGTAGTAGTGAATAATTTGTGGGGAAGTTAAAAAAAATGGACAGCGGACAGCAGACAGCAGTTGTAAAATTCTCTTCTCTTCATCTCAGTCACGGCTGCTGCCGCCAAACCTCCCTGGTACAGTGGGCCATTGCTAATGCTTCTGCCGTGTTCTGTTCTGAGTAATCATAACTAAATGCAAACATGGTAACAATTCCCTGCTCTGAATTCTGCTTCTTTGGCTCTTAACCACCACCCCCCTTATTATAATCATTAAAATTCATTACTCCCTGTAAGATTTCTCTCATGCCCAGCACCTAAGAGAGATTCTGACCGGCTCTCAGTTTTGCTGAATATGGAATCCTGATGGCTCCCTCACCACTTTAGTTGAGAAAACAAAAGGGCATCCCTCCATATTCCTATCCACTCTCCAGTTGTGCCCATCTTTCTTTGGGAGTCCTGTCTGCTTTGCTGTGCCATGGAAGACACAGGGTATTGTATTACCCTGACCTCCTCTTCACCAGTTCTCTGAACGGCCTCCCATCCCTGCTGCTGTTCTTTCTTGCCTCCTGACCCTAGATTTTCATCCTATTCCACACCCACTTAAATTTCCGCATCGCACTCTAACCATCTTCAACCATGACAAACCGTTTGCACCCGGCAGCTCTTCACTGAGAGTCAGTGGTGGAAACAGCCCACACGTCGCCACATTGTATCAGGGCTTCTCAGTCCTCATCTGCGCACAGCCTGCCCTTGCAAACCACTTCTCCAATGAAAAGCATCCTACCCCTCACTTTTCAGCTCATTCCCATCTCCTGCAACTCTTCATCTTTCTGGCTGCTTCCGGGCTTGCCAGCTGAGCTCTCGCCATGGCAAGGGAGATGGGTGGTCAAAAGCCGCTTGCCACAGAGGATGAGGGCAGCATGGTGAGAGAGAAACTGGGTATACTGGCTGGTGCGGTCGTCAGAGTGCTGTCACACTGTCTAGCAGTGGCTCTTGCTTAAAGGTTCAAAAAGCCATGATCTATGTTCAGGGGTTAAACACATCTGGATGATTAATAACCCAAAATGTGCTGAGGGTGAACAACGTGTGCTCACCACTGTCCCGGCCATGGGGTCGTAGAACCGCTCGAGCAGCTGGACCACGGTGCTCTTCCCACAGCCACTGCTGCCCACCAGGGCCAGCGTCTGACCCTTTTTCACCTCCAGGTTCAGCCCCTGGAGCACGGGGATGTCGGGTCGGGTGGGGTAGTTGAACTTGACTCCATTAAATTTCACATTTCCTTCCAACGTATTCTAAAATGGGAACAGTAACAGTTAGTTTGATTAGGACAATCATGAAAACACGGAGTACAGTGGTGACTCCTAGTGCCAGATGTTGGAAGTGACCTTCTGTCATAGTTAAATTTCATTTCCTCTCTGGAATTAAATTTGAAGAGGTAATCGTTTTGCAGCATGAATTCTCAATACAACACCAATGTACTCTCCCAGACTAGCATAACTACATACAGGAAAGCCTAATGGACTGGATTTCCATGTATCTTGGACAGGATTCTTATCTCCCTCTAACTTTATTTTATAAAATTAATTATCATTAGTATACAGTATTAACATTTATTCCGATCAGCCCATCTAGGTCTTAGCAACAGCATATAATTTTTAGAATTAAAGCACAAATGTTATTCAGTTTCCCCTTTGTGCCTTTTCACTGAGGAGTTAGGGGTCTATCATCAACTGAAAGGAAACTCACAGGCTTCAGGCCTTCGGTGCTGTAGCTGTCGATGGAAGGGACTTTTTCAATGATCATGATGATATGCGATGCCGACACTTTGGCTTTGGCATAGTCAGGAGCGAATGAGCTGACCTGCCCAACTGCCATGGCCCCGAAGACAATAGCTGAGAAAACTCTGGAAAAGAAAAGACAAGCATGCACACACCACATAGCTACATGCTGCAGTGTGGCACTCTCTAACCCAGGAGGAACTGCAATTATGAAGTTGAAAGACAGAAACCCCTCTCCCTGACACGTTCTCCTCAGCATGCAAAGTGGTTCTTCTCCACCTCTCCCGTGTCCTCAGCCACTCACAGCGTGACCTTTGCTTAAGCTTCCTTCTAAGAATTACAAATTTGTTTTCCACGCCTTGAACCTGGGGTGGTCTTGTGACATGGTTTCACCGACAGGATGTGATGGAAATCACTGTTCCCTGTTTCAAGCCTATGACTCAACGTATGTTTTCTTACTTTATTTTTCTCTCCTTCACTCTGGCCAATGAGCCTATGGCTCACCGCAGACATCGTTCCCGGTGTCTAACTCATATGTGTAAACAAATATAAGAAAGGAGCAACTGGTTTGCCCTTACCCTCCTTCCCAAGACAAAAGTCCCACTGTCCTTCTCTCCTCCGGCAGAGCACCCTTCCAGCTGAGCAGTGCAAGCTGGCCAGCTTCAGTCAAGGCTACTCCTGACATGTTTATGGAAAGCTGTGGGCCTCGGCAACCCTTTGTCTAAGCTGACTAATCGGAAATGATGTGTGAGAGGGACTCACGCAAGGCCGCCCATAACACTTGAACAACAACAACGACGACGAGACAGCCCTCTAGGAGAAAGAGGGCTTCAGCTTCTGAGTAACCTTCCCAGTTTGTGGGGAGTCTTTCTACGTCCTCTCTCTCTCTCTCTCTCTCTCTCTCTCTCTCTCTCTCTCTCTCTCTCTCTCTCTGTGTGTGTGTGTGTGTGTGTGTGTGTGTGTGTGTGTCTGCGTGCATGTATATGTGTTCCTTTACCCTTATTAGGTTTGCTAGGAGTGGGCACATCACCCACCTCTTAGCTGCCCTGTGGGAAAGCTTTTCAAAGGGGCCATTCACTTCCTGGCTGAACATGAGCCCTCCTTCCAAAGGCATGGTCTTGAGCTGAATCAATATGTGTAGGCACAGATTTGTAACGGTCAGACATGTGGGAGTCAACTCGGGGTAGAAAATTTTTGGATGAAATGTGGAGTATCTATCAGTGTTACCACACAGACCCTCAGAGGCCAAAGGCAGCTTTCTTAGTCACCAAAGGCTCTCAGTGACACTTCACCATACACTGTCTCGTCCCAGACTTGCCCCCAGGGTTAAATTATGAATATGAACCCAATACTCACAGCAGAACATTTTCAAATGTCATTAATTCACGTGCCACCAAGTAGGCACCAAACCGGAAACAGGCAGCATAGGAAAAATACATCATGGCCTGGGTGAAGGAGAACGTGATCCCAAAGACATGCGCTTTTTTCAAAGCGTTTCTGGAACGAAGAGAACCCAAATTCACTTCACTTCACTTCTCAGTCATTCAAGGAACTGACCGTGGGTTGGCAGTGGGCACACAGGAGTGACAGACAGAGTAGATTCCATTTCTTATGTTTTTGGTTGTGAGCCTAGCCTTTAACGGCTGAGCTATCCCTCCAGCCCTGTGGATTCCATTTCTAAGGAACACAGTTCGAGGCCCTTTGACTTAGCTGTGTGAACTTAGGAAACTGCCTCATCTCTGAGGCTCAGTGGTGTCTTCATCCCTAAGGTAGGACTATTCACCTCAGCGGGTTCTCACTAGGCCTGTAACCCTGAGAGGAGCCTGCTTTACATTAACAAATGAATGGTCCTTCCCTTTCCAATATCACTGAACCCAACACATGTACCCAACACCCTCAAGCTATGGGTGACAGGGCAGCAGGCATGTCCTTGCCCTCGGAAATCTAGATGAGGTGCACGTCATCAGTCAGTGGAGGAACAATGCGCTGTGGGGAGAGACAAGCCCTGGAGTGTCTGCAGCCAGAGAGGCTTACAAACCACGAACGTTCCAGGAATGTCTGAACAACAAGGATCTTGGGGAGGCCTGGGCAGGAACAGGGTGGGAAGGGGCAGCCCTTTGACCTTCCAATCCTGCTAAAAACTTTCTTCTTGTCTTTGCCACTCACTGGGATTTCAAATGAAGACCTTCCCCAGAAAAAGAGGGCCTAGCGGCCATGATTATGACAAAGGTGCTTGGAAACCCTTCAGAGAGGTCTAGAAGCTGAAACTCTAAGGTTGGGCTTGCTCATGTCCTAGTTCACTTTTTTTTCAGAGTCCTCATCAATACTGCTGGGGTACAGGGAGAAGAGAGGATCTCCTCAGGAAAGAAAGGAACAGGAAGCACCCTTGAGAGATCCCCTCAGTGTCTCACAACACCCCCAATTTCATGTTCCACAGAGAACCTTCACCCCAAATCCAGCAAACAGCGGGGCCATTATCCCAACTGGACACAGAGGCGTTGACAGTTGTCCTCTTGTCTCTCCTCCTCATTGTCACCAGCAGTCACTGCCTCTGCTTCCCGGACGCCCCTGCCTAAGCTCGGGTCTCAGGTGTTCCTTCTAGTGCTTTCGTCCTGTTCCCTCTACCGTCTGGCAAAGGCAATCCCGAACACTGAATCCTTACTAGAAAACTCCTCAGAGCCCTGGTCCACTCTTCAGGGCTTCTTACCTGTATGGTACCTGCAAGCTCTGGGCATACATGTTTTCAAACTTCTGCTCCCGAGTCAAGGAGACGACGGTGCGGAAGTTCTCGATTGCTTCAGTAGCGATCTGTAAAAGGCCACCCATTACCAGGCACCAAGTCAGACACAGAAAATGAACTTGAACTCTGCAATCAATAGCATTAACCTATTATAACTTGTCACTCATGTATCATTATCAATAGCTATCTTCCGTATGGAAAAGAATGGTGACTTATGAAACTGCATTTTCCTTTCTTTGGGGACCAGATGATTTGGTCTGGCCCTCTACACAGAAACAGCAGCTGGGACACCAAACCTTGACTCATTTGTCTAAAGCCATGCGGCATCTCACGAAGGAGTCTGTCTTCTGTGAAGGTGATATCTAAATAGCATTTATTGCTACTTTTTTTGAAAATGTGATATTTATCCAAAACTTTTTCTCTGTGTAACTCAATAAAGTTTAAAAGATGTTCAGAGAGTAATGAAGATGGTCAATAACTACACACTGTGTTTTATAAATTAGCTCACACATGTTTTTCTAAACATACACATCTGTAACAAAATGTAAACTGAATTCTATATTTTGCCTAACCAATTTCAACAGTATTTTTCACGCTCATTCAATATATATTAATAATGAGTTGGGGTTTTGTATTTTGGTTTTGGTTTTTTGAGACAGGGTTTCTCTGTGTTACTGCCCTGGCTATCCTGGCTGTCTTTTGATGAGCAGGAGATAATCAATTTTTTTCAAGACAGCTTCTAATATTTAGTTGCATTCTAATTGTATTTACCATCACCAAGGCTATTTAGTTAGGACACTATAGCTGTCGCCTTCCTTTGCATTCTTTTCAAAGGGAAATGGAGACTATCAAGAGCATGTAGGCCACGTGGAAGGGATTTTGCCTGTACCAGCAGTGGGACTTAAACCACTATCACTAGCTTATCTGAAAGGAGGGTGTGGACCAGAAGGTCTCTGAAGTCCTTTTAAAACTGTACCTCTCCAGAAATGGAAGTCACTGGTTAAGATTCTGTGCCTCTTTTTGGTGGTTTTACTGATGAAATGATCAGTAAAAGACACACCCTAGAAACCTAGTGCAATTTGCTACTTAAAAAGCCGTGTAAGTGTGAACTCTCATTTACACCTCACTGAATCTTACACAAATTTTCTTACTTCTGTGATGACAGCAAATATTTCATTAAGAATGAAGTCAGTTTTGAAGTCCAGAACAAAGAAGAAGCTACCAGAAGAAAAAAATGAACAAATTCCTTAAAATACTTATTTTAAAAATTAAAATATTTTTCTCTGATCTAGAACCACCAAAAAGGCAATTAAGAAGAAAATATTTTATAAACTTTGCACATTTCTTTTTTTTTTGATTTTTTTATTCTTTTTTTAAAATTTAGATAAGAAACAAGGTTGCTTCACAAGTCAGTTCCAGGTCCCTCTCCTGGATCTGAGTTTGAATCGCCATCACACACAAAAGCTGGCATGGCCGTGCCTGCCTGGAACCTCAGGGCTGGGGGAAGTAGCTTGCAAAGTGTGAGGGCAACAATTACTTCACAGTGAGCTCGCCTCATCTTGATGCACAATGAGGCAATTAGGAAATGCCTGAAGTAGCAGCCATATCCTCACAACTTCAATAGAGACCAGTCAGCACCAGCAAGAAGGAAGTTTAAGTTCAAAGAAGAGTAAATAGCTCTGCTTCCTTTGAAGGGGCTGCGTACCAAGTCGTTCTAAAGTAAGGAAAACGTGTTTCTCAGAAGCAAACTTGTACTTCTCGTTCTGCCCCAAATAAACGGAGGTTTGACAAGAATTTATATTAAAAAGATAAATGCATATATTACACAGACTGCTCATTATCTCATAAAAATGGAATAGAACAATCTCAAGCCCCGATAATGGGCACAGTGGAGTTTATCTGCGCATTCTGACACCGCACCACAAAGACAGGATATGAACGGGACCTCCATTGCACTGATCTGCTCTGAGATCCCAAATAAGCACATTGTCAAGTGTGGCATGGTATTTATTTATTTATTCCTTATTCAGGGCCAGTATTACTTGGACCAGACCAGATCCAGACTAGTTCCCAACGACAGTCTGCTGGGACCTCACCAGAGGGTGAACTCCACAGACCCTGGCTGGGAACTACTAAAGCCAGTCAGATCATTTCCCTGAAAGAACCCATGCAAACAAAGCAATGGGTCTAAGACGGTGCAGAGGAACAAAGTGTCTTTGATGACTCTGGGGCCTTCCTCCGCTTCCACATCAGTGAGGTGCCTGGCTCACAGAAAGCTGGCCTGGAAACCACAGCCCTGTCACCTGCCTCCTCCAGCTCCGTTTCCTGGGCCCTGGAATGTCAGGGGTCAGTCCTGTTCTGACATCTCACTTCTGCAGGGAACATGTGCTGTCTGACTACCCTCCACCACAACACCACTTGGATTTCTAGCTAATGGGTGTGCCACTGTCTGAGTTTGAATCCCCGCTCCAGGAGGGACTGGCTCTAAGGGAGTAAAAGCCTGTGTGTCCCTCAACCTCACCTGAAAAATGAGGCAACAATAACAGAGTATACCTGACAGAGTCAGTGTAAGGAGGGAAACATTTTCCAGGGGATCAAATAAATGCCACATAACTCTTTGTGGAGATCTGAGGAAAAAAAAATAGCTGAGTGTGCAGAACAACAGGATGAGGGAGAGAAAACAGACAGGAGAGGAAGGGAGGGTGCATGATAGAGAGGAAAGAGAGGGGAGGTGGAGGGTATGTGCCGTTTGCAGAGAAAGCAGGTCTGCGGGCCAGATCAGAGATCCAAAATGGCGTGAGGTACCAGAGTAATTCCAAACTGACTAGACTGAGTAATCTAAAATGGAGAGAACAAGTGCACTTGGGACATTTCCTCTTTGTATCTCCCCAATCATTTATAATAAAATACACCCGCTTTCCTGAATCAGGGATGCTTTTAAGCTTGGTTGAAAGGAAGACAGAGAAGAACAGAGTGTAGGGTGGCGAGTGTGCTGGCTAGTCTTATGTCAGTGACACGAGCTAGAGTCACCAGAGAGGGAGCCTCAGTTGACAAATGCCCCCATATGATTGGGCTGTGAGCAGGCCTGTGGGGTAGTCTCTTAATTAGTGACAAGAAGGCTGAGCTAGCCGTAAGAAGCCAGCCGGTCAGAGCTCCCCTCCGCGGCCTCTGCGTCACCTCCTGCCTCCAGGGTCCTGTTCTGTTTGAGTTCCTGTCATCACTGCTTTTGATGATGAACTCTGAGTAAAATAAATCTTTCCCTCCCCAAACTGCTTTGGTCATGGGTATTTCATAGAAGCAATAGAGACACTATGAGAGAAGAGAGGCAGAGAGAGAGAGAGAGAGAGAGAGAGAGAGAGAGAGAGGGAGGGAGGGAGGGAGGGAGGGAGGGAGGGAGGGAGGGAGGGAGAGAGAGAGAGAGAGAGAGAGAGAGAGAGAGAGAGAGAGAGAGAGATTGAGAGAGAGGAGATAGATAAACAGAAAAAGAAGAAAAGGGCTGGATGAGGAGAGAGGGATATGGAGACAACGGCTTCAAACAAACAAACCCCTGAAAAACAGGTGTCAGTATTTGAAACTAAGGATGTTTCTAACTGTTCTTCAAATTCTAATCTTGAGATAGGTAAAATAAATGTTGCCCCAAAGGGGGCTACTAAAATATTGTCATAAACTATAGAGATGGCTCTGTTGGTAAAGAACTCTAGGACTGACCTCTAGGACTCAGGTAATACATCTCAGCTGTGGGTGGCGGCATGTGTTTGTAATCCTAATGCTGGAGGAGCAAGGATGGGTGGAGAGACCATTTCTCACACAGTGAGCGCCAAAATCTCAAAACACAAAGTGGCCCACACCTGGGAAATAATGCCCAGGGTGATCTCTGATCTTCACACAACATGCACATACATGTGCAGCCACAGGAACACATAGACACACACTCATTCAATACTCTCTCTTACACACACACACACACACACACACACACACACACACCAGCATTGTCAGAGCATAGTTAGTCACAGAGAGTAACAGAATATCACTGGAAAGAATATTTTTTCTACTTAGGTAACAATCATAGTTAGTTTAACTCACCTTCCCAGAACCTTCTAGTTCCTTCTTATCTTTTAGTGCTTGTCCAGACAACATTTTCATCTCAATCACTCCTGCTATTGCAATGATGGGGACAATTGCTAAGAGCAGAAGTGTCAACTGCCAGCCATAGATTAGAGATATGATAATTCCTGTCCCAAGATTTGCTATATTCTGGGTAATGACAGCAAGTCTGGATCCTGTAGCCTGAAAAAGAAGAGAAAATTAGAGACTATTTTATATTCTAAAATATGTTCTAGTATATTTTTAACTAATATGTAGTAACTCATTTTCCTGAAAATCTTCTCACCTATGAAATAAAAAGAAAGATGTACTTAAAAGAAGTTTTTGGTTTCTAAAATGAAGATTCCCATGATTTAAGAATACTGAATGTAGAGTAATAATCCAAACTGCATGTATATATTCATATCTACCCTATTCTTTCAGTACCAAGAAAATGCCAAAGCATGGTGACTAAACCCAACTCATTTTCATCAGTGAATTTTAAGAACATTTTCTCTGTTTCTGACTGAACTATAATGCCTCTTAAGTTTTAGATCACAACTACACTATCCTTCCTTCTCCCAACACCAATTATAAACACTAACCGAGCATGGAAAACAGAGTGATTCTGCTGGGAATGCCAAGAATATGTCCTTTCCTAAGTAACTGTTCCTTGCTACTCATCATCTTCATGTCGTGAGTGACAGCAGACGTAAAAGGAAATTTATAGCTACCTATACACTATATGGTATAAAATGTTTGAATTTTAACATATTTACTGTAAAGAGTTTGGTGTTTGAATGAGAAATGTCCCCCAAGGGCTCAGGCGTTTGAGCACTTGGTTCCCAGCTGGCAGTACTGTTGGGAGGCGTTATGGGAGGTACAGCCTTCCTAGATGAAGGAAATCACTGGAGGCCAGCCTGAGAGGTTAAAGCCTCCTGGCACTTCCAGCCCATTTTCTCTGCTTTGGGCCCACAGCATGATGCCGTCTCTCAGGTTCCCGCTCCCGCTGCCATGCCTGTCACTTGCCGCCACCCGCTCTACCATGATTTACTCTCTTCCCTCTGGAACGTTAAATCCAAATAAACCCTTCCTTCTATAAGTTGCAGTTGGTCATGGTGTTTCACCACAGCGATGGGACAGTAATTAACACAGGTAACTGGTTGCAGTGTTGAAATGGTTACCAGGAAGTCAGTCTCCCGTTAAGCCTACACAGCACCGAGATGAACACCCTCAGAAAGGAAGCACGTACCCCTTTGACCTGAGCAGCATCATTGGCGAGCCTGGTGGTCAATGCTCCAGTGGTGTTTTTAGGGTTATCAAACCAGCTCACATCCTGCGGCACAGAGAGATTTGTTATCTTAAAAGTCCTACTTATGAGACCCTAGCTCTCAGAGGAAGGTGACAGAGACGCTTTTATTTACAGCATTCGCATCCTCTTTGGCGTTGAGGATGTAACACTCAATAGGCAAGAAAAGGATTTAAAAAACAAACGAAAATAGATTATTTCATCCGGGGAAAGTATGTCTTAAGTCTCAGCTTTGTTTAAAGCCTGACTGCAAGTGTTGAACAATGAACACTTAGCAACAAAGTTACTGATGCCTTCAAGACTTCCTTCAGGGATTGGAAGGCGCACAGAAACAAGCAGACACCATCTCAGCAGACACCGGGGAGAAAAGGACAGGGTGAGAAGGGTGCTGCTTTACAGGGTAGGGAAGAGAGAAGGAAAGTCCCTCCCAAAAACATGTGAGCAGGGACAGAACGAAGGAGGGGATGAACGCATCTAAGAAGAGAAAGACACAACATTCAAAAAGGCCCCAAGGCTAAGGCATACTTGATCTGCTCACACACAAGGGAATTCCATCCTGCAGGAATCCTAATTTGTTCTACTGGGATTCCTCTAATTCTTTCCTCCCCAGCCTTTGTGTAGTTACCTATTGTGCCCTGAGGATGACCTCTGTGATGTGGGTGGGGCATGCATACCATGAATGCCCTTTGGCAACTGCAGATACTACACAGAGGCTGTTTCCTGAAAGATCTCAGAAGCATCTAGACTCAGTTGAGGATGGGGGTAATGAAGCCAGTGAGGAGGCTGAGGGAGCTATCAAGGTTGGAGTCTGAACAACTGGTAGAGATACAGAGTAGATATGGCTGGGAAGTGGTGGCATATGCCTTTAGTCTCAGCACTCACTCTGAAGACAGAGGACAGTCAAGGTTACTCAGAGAAACCCAGTCTCGGGAGTGGGGGGTGGGGGGAGTAGATATGAAGTAGTAAGCCTGCTGAGGCAAGAAAAATAAAACGTTCAGAAATATTAAAGTGTGACACATTGACGCATTTATTAATATCAGAAGAGAAAACGTGATCTGTAGTCAGGGCAGAATAAATGAGCTGACTGATAACAAGTCAAAAGCAATCTAGATTTTTAAAAGGACATACAACATAAAAAGGGCTTTCACTTGTAAAACTTCTTATTTCTCATTTTTTACATGTGTTAATGACTGATTGTATGTTTGTGGATGTCATGGCACATACATGGAGGTCAGAGGACAGTTTGTGAGAGTCGGTTCTGTCCGTCTGTCTTGTGGGCTCTGAGGATCAAATTCAGGCCAAGCACATTTAATGGATGGCTATCTCACAGCTTCATATATTTTAAAATAAACACATTTTTATTTTTAATTATGAATTCAGTTTCTAAGATGTTACCTGAATTGGTAATTTGTATTAAGGAATCTGTACCTTTTTATTTTGAAAGGCTAGAAAATGACTCATTATCGTCTATATCAATTGACTTTTTAGTATTCGGGTACTTAAGTATTACCCCACTGTAACATGACATCCTTGAAGAGAGAGGTCATTCAGATTCGAACACCTCACACAACTTAGTACTATACTTCCTAAGTAGTGGCTGTGATATGCCTGCCCTATTAACAGTTTGTACTGTTCACACACACCATCCTCTCTGCTCACGAATATAACGGACCTGATAGTTGGCCTGGAGGCTGAAGGGGTAATGGGGTACATGGTGCTGTAACAAGGTCAACTTTGAGATTGTTTAAGTAGAATCTAGGTTATAAATACAGCTTGAAGGCTGTGATCCCAGGACTTGGGAGATGGAGTTCAGTATTATGCTCAGCTACATTGTGAGTTTGAAGTTAAGCTTGGGTATAAATGACCTAAGTCCAAGGGGAGAGACTTCCATAAAACAGTGCTCTCTCACCCATCAGGTTAGCTGTTTGTATAAGGACACCATTAGTTAACTATTTCTATAAATTCATAAGCGGTTATAGGTTGAGTGGAAAAGGACTGTCTTGGAAATCTGAACACAAGAAACTGGTATTTCTCACTCTTGCTTTTTTTTTTTTCAGTATTGGGGACTGAATGGATTCTAGGCTCCGCCTCTGTGTTACATCTTAGTCTTGTGGGACAGCTTTCAGGATGCCCGGTCTATACCACCCGTGAGTCTTATGCATCCCAGGATGCTATTAATGTGGTCCAACAAGTTTGTAGATAACAACATCTCATTTTAATGTAAAAAAGTTGGACACTCTGTATCAGGAGCATTATTTTATGGTGATAACTAGTAATTCTGAAAGGGAAGACTTAAGGTCACATATAACATTTTCATGATTGCTAAAGTTTTCTACTTTGAACAGGACTGTTAACAATATTGTCAGTTACTAAGAGCTGAATGTACAGAATGTAATAGGTACTCATATTAAGTCATGACAAGCTAATGACCCTGTCACTTGGGTCACTCCTTTAGTCTTGCCTCAGCAAAGAATCTCCACGGTGAGGAATGGGCCGTGAAAATGCATCTGAATTTGGGCAAGCGGAATGCAAACTATCCCCAGGTTCAGAGAGGCATGACAGCATGTTCTGAGTGTGCAGGAAAAGGGAGGTGACAGAGGGGCATAATGGTACAGATGACCTCGGCTAACACATCTCAAGCTTTGCACTAGGACAAACTATAGAGGGTCATCTTGGCTTCCACCGCCTCTCACTGCTGAGACAAAATAGCTGATGGAGAGCCACCAGGAGACGCAATATTCTCAAGCCAGCCCTGTTCCTCGTGCCTGCCTGCAGCAAACAGGCTGCAGGTCTGCAGCCTACATCTATGGATGGCTCACCAGCATCTCAAGAGGAGGCTGCTGGAGACCCACGAAGGATCTCTCTCTAAGGAACTGGACAGGGCTCGCACAGTCTGTGTCCACAGAACACAAGAGAAGTCCTACTCACCCCAGAATGCAAGCCTCACCAGCCATACCTGTCTCAGCATGGATTTGAAAACCATGTATCGGAGTCGCTTGGTGAGGATCTCTCCAGCCTTGCCAAATGTGAAGCCCTAAGAAGAATGAGAATGTGTCACTCAGGAGGCTGGCCAGAGACTCAGACACCAAGTACACAGTGGGAATCAGGACCTGTGAGTGTCTGGAGCAGGAATGGACTTAGCTTGAGCTCTGGCCCTCACTGTTTCTCAGATGGCCAGCTGGACATTTGATCCTTTCCTGGGCTGTGTTTCCACACTAGAAGTCCACGGATCCACTCACCGTTCTTAATGTGCTCTGCAGTCATGGGTCACTGTCTCAGCACCATAGCCCAAATGTGAGGGAGCCACATTCTCTCCCTGTGCTATACCATACCAGCTGTCAAAGCAAAAGTGACCAGCTTAAAGCTGCCTCCTTTCGAATCTTTTACCAAATTCACACGGAGCAACTGTCGATTTTCACACACCTGGGACACTCTTACAGGCAGTGTTTCTCTACCAAGGTCCAGTTCCACAATGAATCTTTTAATTATTTAGTGAACAAACACCATTTTTTTATTTTGTGGTCCTATGTTAAGGACGATGTTTTTTTTTCTGCTAGAATATTAATATTATTAATAAAATTAGAATGTGTTTAACAAAGAAACCTATTTTGTTTTAGCTGAGATTATTTACATGTGTGCTGTTAAAATACTAATATAAGGTGGGTGGCGGTGGTGCACCCCTTTAATCCCAGCACTCGAGGCAGAGGTAAGTGGATCTCTGTGAGTTTGAGGCCAGCCTGGTCTCTAGGGTGAGTTTCAGGACAGCCAAGGCTACAAAGAGAAACCTCTGTTTTGACAAACCAAAAAACAAACAAACAACAAAAAAACCCTAACATATACTTAGAAAGTGTTTAATAAAGAAACCTATTTAGTTTTAGCTATGTGGACTAATATTTGGTGCATTAAGTAAGTGGTTGCTTACATTTTAATCAGTAAGTACTAACATAACATCTCAAATAAATCTGAACTCTTGGTCACATGAGCTCTCTTTATTATCAAGAGGCAACACTGCTCCCATTTACAGATAAGGAAACTGAGGCTTAGACAACTTAAATTACCAGACACATAACTGTGTATATGTGCAAATACATATTTGCACACCTGTGTGTAACACCAAAATCCACACTGGATGCTTTCCCACACTATACTGCAAGAGTGTTTAGTTCATTTACAACTGTATTTGAACCTAATGATCTGCAGGCTGCAAAATACCTTGTTCATATTTCTTAGGTTTTTTAAGACTGTCATTTTCCCATTCCTGAGGCTTTTTTTTTCCTTTTGTAAGAGATAGATAAGCATTTGAAAACCTTTTAAATCAGTGTGACCTATTTGGAGTTTCATTTATTTGTTTGTTTGTTTTGGAATACAGGAAGACAGTCCTCTGACTATTCAAACTGACCAGTGGTAGTAGATCCAAGGTGATTCAGGCTAACCCCAAAATATGTACTTAAGTCCTCACCTTCCATTTCTATACTAGATAGAACAATCTGTTCAATACGATTATATCACTGTTTCCATCTAGTGCATACTTGGTTGGGAAAGAGAAGGCAAGGATAGTCAGAGGGCAAAAAAACACTCTGACTATCATTGGGCATGGTAAGAGAGGAACAATTTTATGATAAGGACAATACATGCTTATCAATCCCCTGAGTGGATGAAGTGATAATAAGACACTTACCTGAAGAAAAAATGTAATAAAAGAAATGACCCCGAGGATCAGAAACAATAAGGAAAACAAGTTGCTATCCTGGCGTTTGGTTTCATCATCAGAATTTTTTGTGAAAACCTATTTAGAAAAAAAAATTGAAGGGTTATTAGTTCCATCACTACGGAAGCATTCTGCATCTGCCCCTATTTAACACAGTATGAAGTTTAGGAGTTGGAACAGTCTTTGTACCCTAGAACAGAATTGGCTTCTGGAATAAAGCCAGCCTCTAATGCACCTGCGTTCTGCCTTTGTTGGGTCACAGGAGTGGGGTTGGTCATTTTCATTCACAAATTCATCCAACATTCTTTGCATTCATGTTCCTCCTAGAGAAACAGGTGTGGTACTCCTTTGTAAGAAGAAATCAAACAAATACTCTCCTTTTGATTTTCTTATAACAGACTGTATCATGAGTCGGATGTGTGTGTGTGTGTGTGTGTGTGTGTGTGTGTGTGTGTGTGTCAGGTTGAGCAGATGTGTATGGAGCACAGAGGTCAAGCTTGTGTGTGGTTGCTTAAGATTTTCCACTCTTTTTAGATTTATTTACTTTATTTTCCTGTGTATGAGTTTTTGTTCTATAATGTTTTCCCTTCTTTGTAGTATTTTCATAGCTTATAAAAATACCTTACACAAGTCTTTCATATATGTATTTTAGACATAGATCTGGGGAATGCCAGCCTACAATCCTACGGCCAGAGAGTCTGGAAAACAGAACCTTTATTCAATGACTGATGGAAGCAGAGGCAGACTCACACAGCTAAACACTTAGCTGAACTCAAGGAACCCAGTGACAGAGAGGGAGGACTGATAGCAAAGGGGTTAAGACTGGGATGGTTTAACCCCCAGAAACAGCTGACCTGACAAGGGTTAGCTCTTGAATCCCAGACTGATGCCTGGGAATCCAGCATGGGACTGATCAAGACCCCCTGAACGTGAGTGTCAATGAAGAGGCCTAGGCAATCTATTAGGCCTTGGATAGTAGATCAGTATTTATCCAGGCATACAAATGGAGTTTGAACTCCCATCCAACAATATGAGATGCACTCTCACCCTGGACTCTTGGGGGAGGGTCTAATCCCTGCCCTGGATGAAATGACAGACTATGGACACCTCCATGGAGGGCCTCACCGGAAATGAAGGGGTATTGGGGGGTTGAGGGGAGGGTGTGGGAGGAGGGGAGGGAAACGGAGAGAGACCTGGGATTTACATGTGAAGCAACCTTGTTTCAATTTTAAATTTAAAAATAAAAATAAATACCTTACACAAATTGGATACTGAGCAAACATTTCTTGAATGACATATTAAACATGCGTGTTAATCTAAGAAGGCATATGTAGACTAGAAGAGTTTGGTTGTACAATGAATAGTGTTTGTTTTATGCTTCTTATGGTGATGTTTCTGTCTGCCAAAGATTTTCAGCAGTAAGGCAAATGTGTCTTCAGTATCATGTCTGATGATCTGCGTCTGTCAGTAAACCAAGAACATGGCTGCTTAGACTACAGCTGTTATTTAAATGCTGCTGTTAAAATTAGGTAGACCCAGCATGTTTGCTTCTACCTTCAGGGAGCGTGTTAATAGTTTGCATATGAGGAGCATGTTAACAGTTTGCATATGAAGTCTCCCAACAAAAGGCTCATTGGGTAAATTTTATTCCTCAGCTGCTGGATCTACTCATTGATGGGTGTTTGGAATACGAGTGCGCAGGCCTCATCAATGGATGGGCACACTGTATATGTGCATTATAGGGAGGTGGGACCTTGAGAAAGTACATCACATCATGGCGAGGGAAGGAATCGTGGATAAATATGCCTTGTTCCTTGTTCATTCCTATCTTTCTTGTTCCTGGACACCATAAGAGAGGTGGCTTCTGCCACATGCTGCTACCAACACCATGCCCTGCCTCGGGCTTGCAACAACGAGTACAACTGACTTTAGCCTGAAACCTAGGAAAGTGTGAGTAAAATAAATCTCCCCTTCTCTTGTATTTCTTCTCTGAGATTCCAGCATGGTAACTCATGCCTGCCACCCTAGAAGGCTGAAACAGAAAAGATCTGAAGTTCAAGTTCTGCCAAGACCAACCTAGGCAGCTTAGAAAGACCTTGTCTCCAAATAAAAATCGTAAATGGCAAGGGTGTGCTGCGTGGTGCAGCACTTGTCTAGAGTATGGTTCAATCTCCTGCAGTGTGAAAGAAGAGAAAAAACTGTCTGCTATCGTTATGAAAAGCTAACTAATGTAGATCTGTTTCCCTCTGTTTCAGTCTCAGGCCTGTTCATAGCCAGCCAGCAGTGTTTATTTTACACAACAGGTCATTGGCAACCCAGTTTGGCAAACATAAAAGAACCTCTGGGAAGATCAGTTGGGTTCATCTGATGGGTTGATGGGTTCATGACTTTGGCTCAGAGTTCAATGTTGGCAAACATGGAAGACAGAGTTCCCCAGTTCCACTGACTATGTCAGCAAGTGGGTGCCCAGGACCCTAGAATGGAAACCATTAGGGAACCCAGATAAAAATCAATACAAAAAATGTTTACAAAATTGTTCTTATAAACTTCAATTACACTTTCAGCCAAGTTGATTCTTGTGAAGGAAAATGTTTTAATGACTTACATGTATAAGACATATATACGTGTGTATATGTATGTATGTATGTGTGTGTGTATTAGAGATCGTTCATTCATTTTGTCTAGTCGAGACTCTTTAAGTAATATAAAAATGGATATAATCACTTACCCCTATGACCTTAGAAAATATTATTGAGAATGCTGGTTGCAAGCCTCCATTTATTATGGCACAAAATATGCCAACCACAAAGTATGGCCATTCAGATGAATTCAACTTTAGGATCTGCCAAAAGGAAACTGGAGGTACATCTTCATCCTAGAAAACATATACATTACAACAAGATATTTTTTTAAGATTATCACTGATTTTGCTGTGTAGAGTTCTTCTATGTGCACAAGGCTTTCTTCGGCAGTTGAGGCAGGCTCTCTTGTATTTCAGGCTGGCTTCAAATAAACTGTCTTGAACATCTAATCTTTCTGCCTTCACCATTCATGTGTTGGGCTTACAAGAAGGGTACAAGTTTTTAAAATAAATATTTACCCTATTTTTATTCCTTATCAGTTATGGATATTTGCCTTCAAATACAACTTTAATACAATATAGTACCCCTTTACTTCTTAAGAAATGAATAATGCTTCCACAAATAATTAATTCTTGGCATTCAACAGATGACAAGAATATTAATCAATAAGGATAATCATAATAGAAATAGTAATACTTAAATACCTACTATATGGTCTCTTCATATTCTAAGTCCTATTTCTAAACATCTTGGTATTAACTTTTACTCTTAAACTTAAACTGACTATAAAACATCACCATTTTGGTTTCTGGAGCACTATGGAGATCAGAACAAAAGGATTACAGAAAATATCCTGTAGTTTCCACCCCTTCAGTCTAAGCACACTCAACTAGAAGGACTCATGGGGAGGATTTAGGACATAATATTCAATCTTTGTCCGTACCAAGGCCTCTTTTGTACTAAGCTTCCTGTCTTGGTCATGTGGTCCACGGACACTTCGGCGAGATGATCTCCTTCTGATTAGACTGGATCCCAAATCTTTTGAAGACATGTCTAAATTATCAATTTCATTTTTAGATTCACAAACTTCATTTCCTAATTCAATTTCGTTTCCTGCTGTCTAAAATACATAAGAAATATGAGTAGGTTAAGCTCCAATAATGGAAATTAATCATTGAAAATAAATAGCAAGAAAAAATATTGAATTACTTAAATCAAAGGAAACGGTGAAATTAAGCTACTCTTCCTTCTTGTGTGATATGTTGGGAGAAAAAGCTTAGAGATTCTTTGTGAATATGCTGGAATAAGATGACAAGCTTTCTGTGTATTTTCTCTAGTCATCTCTTCCCTGGGAACATGTGGTTCAATCAGCTTTGCTTTAGAACCAGTGTGTGAACAGCAACTCAAAAGAGACTGAAATGTTTCAGATTTTCAATAAAGCGGTGTTTTTTAAAAAATTTATTAGGTTTTTTTTTTGTACCAAGCCTTCAGAATTTGGTGTGCATTTTCACCATTCAATGATCACTATCACCCATGGCTAATAACTATTATGGTAGATAGGTCAGCTTAAGTTTTTTTCCATTTTTCCTTAGTTATCCTTCTTTGGTGCTTCTCTTTTCCAAAAAAGAAAAAAAAGTCAATCTAAAGCACTAGTCCTGAATACTATTCTATAAAAAAAAAATAGTAAAGCAGCAGAGGTCTGCCCAGACAGAAAGCTAAAGCATAATTATAATTCCCTTCCAAGAGGTCCTCAGGGCTACACTTGGGCCTCAAGTTGGGAAGGAGAGAGTTCGACAGGAACAATACAGTTCATGGAGATCTAAGTATAACTAGCCCCAAAGAGAAGCTTCGCTTTAAAGCAGAAGACAGGAGCTTCTTCAGGAATGAAAATGAGAGAGATGGGGAGAGGGAGGGAGAGATGAGATGAGGGGAGGGAGAGGGAGGGGGAGGGAAGGAGAGGGAGGGAGAGGGAGGGAGAGGGAGGGAGCATCTTCAAAGTACCACTCCAGCAGTTGTCCCTGAGGAGTCTTCGACCAATCGAAAACACGAAAGAAAGGATAGTGTTTTCATAACCTTGTCAAAGTTGAAAGAAGTTTTATATCGCATGACTTAGTTCAGCATAGTGTATGTGATAAGGAGCACGGAGGAACCATGTACCATAAATTGAGAATCATCAAGCTACACTACCATGCTTCTTTTTTAATTTAATGTAAAGCCGTTTGTCAAAAGAGGCAGTCCACAAGATGAAAGAGAAGGCAATGGAAAAATCCCCCTTTTCACAACCAAACAATTATCACATCCTTAAAAAATAATTTTATAAAGTGTTATATATGTTGTAGGTTTGCATGACATTAACCAGGATTGTGTCAATTCATAATTCTGAATAAATCCTTTTGAAAGCATGAGACTTAAAAAATAACCTTTCAGTGTATACATAAATATGCTTCATCCTCTGAATATCTTTACTCTTTCACTTTGGGGTTCAGAAACAAGACTGTAGTACAGTTTACAGACTTACATCACCATTGAAGCTGCCATAACTTTGTTAGTTTTTATGTGTAAAAGAGTCATTGATTTGTTCAGCGGTGGGAAAGTGACAGCAAAGCGTCTTGAGTTTGTGTTGATTTTGTTGTTGTTTTTTTTTTCGAGACAGGGTTTCTCTGTATTGTTTTGGAGGCTGTCTTGGAACTCGCTCTGGAGACCAGGCTGGCCTCGAACTCACAGAGATCCACCTACCTCTGCCTCCGAGTGCTGGGATTAAAGGTGTGTGCCACCAACGCCTGGCTTATGTTGATTCTTTAAAAAGGGATGTCTTGAGGATCTAGAAGCACTGTGCTTCTTTACTGTCTGCCCTAGAGACAGCAAGGGGGCTGTGTGGCCAGAGTCAAGCTACGGGATGGGACCTAACCATGCAGGCCTATGTTCTAATAAATCCCTGAGAACTCTTCTACATTCCAAGACTGTGTAGTCAAGTAACATCTATACATACATCAAATATAGTGACACCAGCTTATCATCAAAATAAATTAGAACACTTCTACGGTCCACTATACCTGTGTCATGACAAGTTTGAAGTAAATGCCCTTCTCTTTCATGAGCTCTTCATGATTTCCTTGCTCCACGATGACACCGCCATCAAACCCAGCAATGACGTCAGCGTTACGAACTGTAGACAAGCGGTGAGCTATCACAATGGTGGTCCGGCCTTCTCTAGCCTGGGGAGAGGGAAACCTGGCTTTTGATACATAAATAATTACGACAAAAAGCACTGCGCCTTTAATTCCAGCACTCAGGAGGCAGAGGCAGGAAGGTCTCTGAGATTGAGGCCAGCCTGGTCTATAGAGCAAGTTCCAGGACAGCCAGGATGGCACAGAGAAAATGTGTCTCAAAAAACCAAACTCCGTCCATAGTCACTGATATGTCATGGACCAGTAGGTCTCCAACCCCATCATTCAGTGTGTCCTCTCCTGGGAAAGGGGCTTTTCAATTCCATAGTCTTCAAAGGACAATAAGTGACTTCTACTCCTATTTTCCTTTGGTTAAGAGTACTATAAACTTTCAAAAACCAGATTAGTAATGTTATTTCCTTAAATTTTCATGGTCTAAATGAAGACTAATTTTCACTTGAGTCTTCATTTTTAATTTTTAATTAAAAGGTACTGACATGCCTTTTGATGAAATTTTATTTGTTGTAATTCAATAAGAAAGGAAGGGAGGGAGGGAAGAAGGGAAGGAGAGAGGAAGGAAGAAGGAAAGAAATGAGGCAGGGATGGAGAGAGAGCTCAGTAGTTAAGGATGCTTCTTTTTTGCAGGGGAGTGTAGTTCAGTTCCCAGCACTCACATTTGGTGGCTCGTAACCGCCAGTGACTCTAGCTTCAGGAGATATAATACCCTCTTCTCATGTTTGCACACACATGAAAACACACACAGACACACAAAGATATATAAATAAGAAAATAAAACTTAAAAAATCATAGAAGAAACAGAAATTGAACAACAACAACAAAAAGATTTTGGAAGCCTGGTGCTTTTCCTTAGTAACAGTTAATAAAACCTATCAAAAGTTTCTTTTCGCTGGGCGGTGGTGGCGCATGCCTTTAATCCCAGCACTCGGGAGGCAGAGACAGGCGGATCTCTGTGAGTTCGAGGCCAGGCTGGACCCACAACCTCCGAAACAATACAGAGAAACCCTGTCTCGTAAAGACAAAACAAAAAAAAAGTTTCTTTCCTAAGACCAAGATTAAGAAAAATAAACAATGGAATACTATTACTCCTGTAATTCAGTCCTTTGTAAGTATAGCTCACAGACCTTATCCAGAGCAGCCTGAACCACAGCTTCACTTTCTGTGTCCAAGGCTGATGTCGCCTCATCCAACAAAAGGATCTTGGGGTTGCGGACCAGGGCACGAGCAATGGCGATTCTCTGTTTCTGTCCGCCACTCAGCTGGGCCCCTCTCTCACCGACCAGAGTGTCAAATTTCTACAATTAACAAAAAACAATAAACAGGAAAATGTAGTAGACAACAAACTACTCAGTTCACATTTCAAATTTGGATGTAGTCATCACTGCAGCCTTACCAGAAATACAGTCCAGTTCTTGGCAACATATATCTCTAGTCAGTAGGGTGAGTGATGAAAAATCCACATAACCTCTAGTCAGTAGGGTGAGTGATGAAAAATCCACAGTAAACCGATTGCCCTCTAAGGAGTTTTCCCAAGTTCACATGGACTGAATCAGGCCAGGGCTCTACTCCCTGACCCTTGGGGTGACAGGGGCAGACACAACTCACATGGGGCAGTTTCATGATGAAGTCGTAGGCGTTGGCTTCCTTGACAGCTTTCTCGATCTCATCCATGGTGACGTCTTCTCGGCCATAGCGAATGTTTTCAGCGATCGTGGTGGCAAACAGCACAGGTTCCTGACTCACCACGCCAATGATTTCCCGCAGATACCTCACGTTGATGGTCCTGATGTCCTGCCCGTCGATACTGACCTGAAATAGAATGTGTGGTTTTCACACTGCAGAGATCACAGAGTCAGGATGACGGGCAGTGGTAACCGCTGCGGGCTGCATGTCCACTCACCACACCCTCTGTGGGGTCGTAGAGCCTCTGCAGCAGCTGGACAGTGGTGCTTTTCCCACAGCCACTGTTGCCCACCAGGGCCACCGTCTGTCCGCTCTGCACCTTCAGGTTGAGGCCCTTCAAGATCTGCCAAGACAGGTGAGAAGCTGATGTTAGGGCCATTCCTAGGCAGAGATGCATGCAGATTCTATGTGCTGGCATGGCAATTCAATGGCGTGCTGCTTTTACACACAAGCCTTTCTCCACAACCATGGAGAAACTATTGGGAACTTTTCATCTAATAGAAAATTGTCACCATACCTGAACTTCTTTTCGAGATGGGTAACTGAAGTGAATATTTTTGAATTCCAAATTTCCTTTGATGTTGTCTGGTTTGTGCCCATTCGTTGAAAAGCTGTCAATACTGGGCTTCTACACAGAAGAAAATTGTAGATGACTAAGTGACAGTAATGGCTTTATATGGAACTTTTCGGTTAGCTAGATAAAGGGATGACGAAACTATGTCAACTAGAAAGTGCTTTATCAGATGGGTAAACAGGCGGGTTAGACTCACATTATCAATTATGTTGAAGACTTCATAGGCTGCTCCTCTTGCATTGGCAAAGGCTTCGATATTTGGAGATGCCTGTCCAACACTGAATGCCCCAATTAACACAGCAAAGAAAACCTGGAAAACACAGTGAAAAAAACCACTGTGTTGTTTTGTTTGCCTCAATTCCCTCATATTTCCTTCCTTCCAACACAACTAGTTACATTTTTAAATGTCGAGGCAACCTGAGAATACCATTTGTCAAAAAAAATCTTAAAATTTTCATAATTGTAAATCTCAAATATATCACCACAGAAATGTAAAGTGAACTAGCAGATTATTTAGCTTCATGCAATCACTCCACATTGTATACATATGTCAAAACATCATACTATATTCCTTAAAGATAATGTGTGTTTTCAACTGAGGAATATAAATATTTACATAATGAAAATATTTTAAGACTTTCGGTAATTTCATTTAGCCTGCAATGCAGAGTTCATCTTACCTTTTCAGCGAAGCAGTAACATACAAGCTCTATCTGAGTGTTTTAATAAAACCTTTTTCTATTTCTTTAATGACTAATAATTTTTATTTAGATCATGGGGGCTGTGAAGTGGAAACAGACACTAAAAGACAAGTGAGAAGACTCAGGTCCAAATGCTGGATTAGTACTAACCAGCTACACATCTGGAGAACATTCTCTCAGAATATTTAGTCTCCGATTTCAGATTGGAGAACAGATAGATTATCTATCTGTTCCCTCTACAAATTGTATCTGATGACATCAGCTATGACAATATTTTGTAAGTTATAAAGCATATGACCAAGGGATAATTATTTATGGGGTCAAATATCCCTCCCCATTCCCTAAGTTTTGGAGTCATTTTGATCAAAATATTTACCAGTAAAGACTTGGCATTATTCACTTCTGTTGGGAGTTGATGAGAACTAGTATCATCCATTTACTTTTAAATTACTCAGGAATTTTGTTGCTTGATAATTTGTGTGGAAGAGACTTTGAAGTGAGTCTATATTCATTACTCTTTATAGCACTAACAAACAGGTCACATGATTCCTGTCACACATTTTGCAGGAGGCATAACAGAGATCTGAAGAGTACTGATGATTGCTCATACCTGACATCTGGTATGTAGTGCAGTTGGAATTTGAACCTATTGAGTCTGATATTGAGTCTAGTAGTCTCCATTCTGAATGTTTCTAGATTGTGAAATAGTTTAGACCCCACGAATACAAGGTTGAATGTACTTATTCCTAGGGTTGACTATAGTTCAGAGGTACAAACATATATTAGGCAATCTTCGATAAAAGTAAAATGAAATCAGCTACTCTATATCAAAATTGAGCAGTTCATATCTCATTACAATTTAGGCTTATCCAGGTTCAGTATCACAACCAAAAACAAAACAAAACAAAAAACTATCTTTGTAAAATCTGTCCTCATCTAAATAGCTTCACATATACTAGATAAAGCACAGTTCAAACAACAATAACAACAGAAAACCAAGGAGTGATTATGAAATTCCTGTTACAAATCTGAATCCTGAGAAAAGGAACTAGTTTAAGGATCTCAAAGAATTACAGTCTATCATCAATAACACTGTCTCCTTGGCCTAAGGAAAAGAAACAATGCATTTTCTCATGAGATACATATTTAGCTTTGCTGTAAATAATTTTGAATCCTTAAAATAAAATAATGTCAAAGGTAAAGTCTTTTGTACTTTATAAATTCTAAGATGCAGAAAATATTTATGATGGTTAATAATGATTATCAGCTTGAGAGGATCCAGAGTCACCTAGAAGACCCCACCCACTGAAGGCTCTAATCCGTTGGAAAGCAGAAAGCATGAACAGGAGATGCCATTGAGGGGTTCCCTGCTCAAGACCAACCTCCTCAGGGAGCATTTCTCTATGACTAGCCTGAAAGGTATAAAGAGGTCAGGGCAGTGCAATTGTGGCCCCAAGATGCTAACTACCCCTAGAACTTGCAAAGGAACTTGATAGCATCATCCACATGGTACTGGCTTTACAGGCACGGGAGATGCAACAGTGACCGACGGAGTGAGAAGGCTTGTGACAAGGTTTCAGAAAGTCACTGAGACAGAGTAGCATGTAGCAAGTTTGGATTCCTAGCTAGGAGGCCATGAGAGACCATATGTGAAGCCTTAAGTGAAGTCTAGCTTGAAATGGAGGCTCCCAGATGTTGAAGATGTTAGGACTGTTAGACAGAGATACCCCAAGAGATATAAGTTATGTGTACTATAGAGAACTATGCTGGAAGGGTGGGACTACCCAAGTCTTCAGAGGCAAGATGATTTCATCAGAAGACCCAGATGTCTCACATAGCAATGAAAGGTTTGGCATTTTCTCTATTTGGCCTCTGTCATGTGATCTTTCCTTGTTCTGTCTCCATTCTTCCCTTTGGGAATATGAATGTTTATTCTGTCCCATTGTATATGGAATATGTAACTTAAAATGTTGATGTTATAGGGGCTCAGTTAAAAGACTGATTCTCACAAGAGACTATATTTATACTTTTGGTCAGACACTGTTAGGACTAAAAAAGACTATTGAGGCTTTTGGATTGAATGTCTTTTGTATTATGGGATGGCCATGAGTCCATAAAGACAAGAGAGGAAATGTTATGGCTTAAAAAGTTTGGGTATTAAGCTTATATGGAATGTTTAATCTTATCAACTTGATGGGATTTACAATTCAATAGAACTTGAGTATAAATTCAACTGTGTACTTTTCTACTTATTTTGTGAATAATAAATTAGAAAATAAAAGTGAAAAATTTCAACAACAAATTTGATACAAAGAAAAAAAATCTCATCAAATGAAGATTCATGCTGAAGAAGTTGATAATGTTAACATTTAGGCTACATCAGGAGTTGTTATTCTAAACCTTACATTGTTATGTTAAGGGATCTGGAACTCCAAATAGAAATTATAGTAATGTTAATATTTGGCCTTAGTAGAAATTATACAGCATATCTACAAACAAAATTGATGCATTCAATTTCCTTTCAACTCTTTAACCTAATAATATATGTCCCTAGCATTTAATACTTATTCAAAGTATATTTTTCCAATATCACTCAACTCCATTGAACTTTTAATGATCCACTTTTTTTTTGATTCATGTATAACTTACAGTGAGCACTTGTCCAATAGAATATTCTTTTGAGATGACCAAGGATGTTCCATACCAGAATGCCAGAGCATATGATGCATAGATAAGAAGAAAAGCTGCGCCCATGGAAATGTTGGCTGTGATAGCTTTCTTTATCCCAAGTCTTTTGGCTTCTTCTAAATTGTTATTATACCTGGGAGAAAGAAGGAAAATAATTATGTAGTGTGGTGATATATTGGAGATCAGTTTGCAAAGCCAGCCACACTATTTATCTATAGAAACTAGGCAGTGGTGGCATACACCTTTAATCCCAAGATTCAGAAGACAGGCAGATGAATCTCTGTGAGTTCAAGGCCATCCTGATTTACATAAGAGTGAAGAGTAAGAGAGCACACACTTTTGATCCTAACACTTGGAGTCACACACCTTTAATCCCAGTGCTAGGGCGGTGGAGACAGGAGTGATATGGCTGGGGAGAGAAAGGAATAAAAGAAAAAGACAAGAATTCAGAGCTTTTGCCTCTGAGGATTAGTGGAGACAGGATTGTCATTTCAGCTTGGTAGAGGTAAGATCTGCTGACTTGGCTGTTTCCCTTTTCTGATCTTCAGCTTGAACCCCAATATGTCTCTGTGTCTTTTATTTTTCATGTTACAATGTAGACTTACAAACCTTATAGAAATATGTTAATGTAACATGATTGTTATTGATCAGTCAGAATATGTCCAACCCTATAGGATACATGCATTTTTCTCCACGTATTGACACTATAATATGTTATTCCTATTATATTTTCTTCCTGTATAAAGTGATATTGAGGTGTGTAGAGGTCATTTTTCATGTAGGGGTCTTCTAAAAGTTCTTTTTTAAATTTGTTTTGTTTTTCATAACGGGGTTTCTTTGTGTAGCCTTGGCTGTCCTGAAATTCACCCTGTAGAGATCTGCCTGCCTCTGCCACCAAAGTGCTGGGATTGTTGGCATGCACTACCACCACTACCTGGCCTAAAAGTTTTCTTTATGTAAGCTTTAGCAACAGTAAAATCAGTGAAGCAATATTTAGTTAGCTTCTAGAACAGTATTATTTCGTACATAAAAGAGAAGACATAACAAAGCAATTATTTTTCATTCATATATATGTTCCTTTAAAATTAACTAATAAAAGAGATTTAATGTTACAAAATCCTAAACCCAAGAAGGTCAATGAAGTCTCTACAATTTAGGGGAGCTTTCAGATAGTTTGTTTCTGATCTTGCCTCCTTCTGGGATTACTGGAATGACCAAATCACAGAATAACACATGGAAAGGCACATTTAAAGCTATGAAATGCTATGCGATATTTTTATATTTAAGTAAGCTATAGAAAATACTTTCTCCCATAGCTGTTTTAAAACCATTGACCTACTAAAAACATTTGCCTTTCTTACTAGTATCCTCATCTCTTATGCTTTTACACACTGCTTCTGCATCCTTTCTAATACTTGTCATCCCATGAGTGCCCACTATTGGGTAAGGGGTGTAGCATGGTAGACTATAAGATGCAGCAAAGACAGACAAGAGGCCCGCCAACAGCCTTGTGACCCATTCCTGGCACAAGTCTTAGAGAAAACCTTGAGACAGTGAGACAGTGGTTCTCTAGCTTCCCAATGCTTCGACCCTTTAACACATATTGTGGTGAACCTCAACCATAAACTTATTTTTGTCGCTACTTCATAACTGTAATTTTGCTACTCTTATGAATTGTAATGTAAATATGTGATCTGCAACTTCCAGAGGGATTTTGACCCACAGGCTGAGAACCACTGCTTTAAGACCACCTAGAGCAATAAAAGGAGACAGGAACAAAAGCAAGAAAGCAAACAGCCATAGGCCCCAAGCCCTGTCAGTTTCTACTGACAGATCCTTTTCCCTCCAGGGCTAACAGCACCACTTATTCTCAAACTACAATTCACGGACCTTTCACTCTCAGAGAGGGGACAGTTAAAGGAGAGTGTTCATAGTTTTACTTTCATTTGAGAGCTATGCAGCAGACCATTCTGCTCAAGAAATAAAGAAAGACGGTCAGACAGGAAAGCTAATGGGAACCGGAGTTAGAGAAAAGGAGAGAACTTTGTGAATACAGAAATAAGAGACAATGTTAGGGAACTAGGATAGGTCATTTCTGAATATTACTATTTATATCTTTGTGTTGGCTCGAGTTTTTGAGAGAGGGTCTCCCTCTCGCTCCCAGGCTACCTGGAACTCAATATTATCCTGCTTTTACCTCCCAAGTACTGGGATTGTAGGGTGTGTGCTACCATACGTAACACTTTACATCCTTTATTTGAGCTCCCTGAAGAACCACAAGAGTATTCATTGTTTTGAAGAAAATATCTTATAATCTTTAAACTAGAAAAATATATCCAGCATAGAATTCCTATTTAGGGGGTCTTTGATCCATTAAATACATTCTTATAAGATTATATACTATTAATTTTCTTTGAAAATTCATTTAATTAATAAACACATCAAAAGTTCAAAACCTGCCAGAGTGCATATTATCTTGTCCTGGTGACTACATTTTTTAGCTAGTTATTCACCAAGATGACCATGAAGATACAGCGGTTACATAAGAGTCATATCTACTAAAGACTAAATTCAGAAAGAACTGTATAGTGATAGAATATGTATATCCTCAAGTTACCAGTTATAATCTTTGAGCAAAAAATTATGTTTAAGAAACATGTTTTAGGAGTGTGTGTGTGTGTGTGTGTGTGTGTGTAAGCGCCCATGTGCACATCTCAAGTTAGAAGCTGACCTAAGATGTATTTAATGATTCATTTGGCATATTTTACAGGATAGCATTGAGAAACTTAAAGACTTATTTATTGCCCATGCTCTGTCATCCCCTATTCCTGTTCTTGCTTACCGAGGCTAATGTTGAAACCCTTTCGCTGATAGGGTGGTGTCCTTCTCAGTCAGAGTAAACATTTGCAAAGGAAAAATCAATAACAAGGGAAAAAACCCTTTAGACATACATACAGATCAAGGCAGATACCAGATAAATACAGAAAAAATGAAAATAAAGGACTAAAAGAGGAAACAAACACACAGTACTGCATTTACATAGGTCTTTTTAAAGATTAGTTTTTAAATGAGCACGGGTTTGATAAAGCCAGACATAAAAATCACCCATTCATTAGTAGCTATAGTATGGAAATGACAAGTGAAAATGAGTGTGTAATTAACCAAACAGTGCCTAGAAAACATTTTCAATTACTATAAAGAAATTTATTAATTATACAAATAGCTATTTATATAACTGTGCAAGTAGCAGTTTTGGTTAAGCAGACAGAAATCAATGCCAACAGAAAAACCTTTATAAGACAAGAGTGAGAAAAAACATGGATGCAAATTTCGTGTGTGGGAGCATTCTTTGACAGGGTCTTACTACATGAGCCCAGGCTGACCTGGAACTCAGGGAAGTCTTCTCACTTCAACTCCCTCAGTGCTAGGGTGATAGGCACACACCACCATACTCAGCAAGAAAGCACTTTTCAACAACAGCACTGTCCTATCGAATTAAAGGCATTCACAGTTATGGTTAAATTTCTATTACAAGAGAGATAATTCCTCCTGCACCAGCTAATTTGAAGAGAAAATCACACAAAGACTGATGTTGAAAGCATAGAAGAGAGAACTAGAAAGAAAATGGAAAGATTGTGTTTTGTTTACTAGTAATCTGGGGATAGCAGCATGGCTCTGTTGCTGCTACGCTTAACAACCTGAGTTTGATACACACATGCAGCCACAGAGAGAACCAACTCCGCAAGTTGTCCTGTGACTATGGTGTCACTCCTCAGTTTCAAACCTTCAGGACTAGTCCATACACTGGGAATGAAATCCCATCTCTTCTCTGTAAGCCCCCACATCCTGGCCACACCCCAGTCTCCCTCAAACGGCGTGAGCTCCAGACTCACACGCCTTGCAATATGCCTCAAAATACACCCGAGATTTTGCCACCTCAGAGACACCGGTAGACTATTCTTCCTACTCATCCAATCCCTATCCCTGTTGTTGAAAATCTTGCCCACCTCAGGTCTTACCCTAGATGAAATTTCCTTCAAGAGGGATCCTCCAACCACCATGCTTAGAATTTCCCACCTTAGCATACTTGTTTAGCTGAACATGCCAGGGTCTGTTGACTCCCCATGGGAGGCCTTACCCTTTCTGAGGAGTAGATGGGGATGGGCTGGGGGGAGGTGAGGGGAGAGGTGGAGGAGGAGGGGAACTGTAGTTGGTTTGTAAAATGAATAAAAATTTAAAAAATACTTGCTTGATCTTGTTGGAACATTTAAAAATTGTAATTTAGTGCTCCTTTGAAGCGTGCCCCTTTGAGTCTCAGGACACTATATCTCCAAACCATACACCCTCTAAGTGCTCTACAAATATTTGCTCCTTTGTAATTGTCTATGCCCTTTCTCCCCGCCATATGAATTTATACTTCATGAGAATGTGGGCTACATCTGACAGAATGCCATCCCATCATTAGAGAAGATCGTATTTTGAAGTAAAATATAAAATCTTGCCCTAAACCAAGCAGAACTGTGTTCTTTGAACTATGACACATAGCAAATACAAATTACCTTTGCGGAAGTGAAATATTGCATGCAAACAAGAGTTTTCCTAACACATACAGTGTAGATAATTCTACAGTGACTATTCATGTACAATCAAGAAACATCAAAAAAAAAAAAAGAAAAGAAAAGAAAAAGAAACATCGCTGACAGAATCGGAAAGGCTCTGGCCATATGCCCTAATCTCACTGAACAGCTTCTCTTCTTCCACCGATATAACCAATATATTTTCCTTGATAGCTTTATCATATCTAACCCCCAAAACAATGCAGTCTAGTTTTTCTATTTTAAATTGCATATTCATAATACACCAGGATATTATCATGATATGTATCAAGTTTCAAAGATAGTGTATTGCTGCCAATAAATCAATGGATCTGATAAATATTATTGATTGCAATAAGTCACCATACTTTCAGAGATCTAGTGAACAGGAAAAGTTCTCAGGATAATAGTAGGAAGCGTGAAATAAAAAGATTTTCAACTTTTGTACATTTTTTTCATATTATGAATCATAGTTCAACTATGCAGGGGCCTGAATAAGAAAGACACCAGATAAAAATGTTCCTCCACAGGCTGGAGAGATGACTCAGCAATCCTGCTAAGGACCCAGGTTCAGTTCCTAGCACCCAAGCCAGGCAGCTCACAAACACCTGTAACTCCACTTCTCGGGCATCCAATGCCTTCTGGGGCCTCCATGAGCACTAGTGCACACACACACACACACACACACACACACACACACACACATAGATACACACACACAGTAGGGGCACACATATACACATAAATTTAAAAATTATTTTTAATCAATTCTTTTCAAATTGTCCTTATAGATCTTACGTAAAACACTCATTCAGTTTTAAGAGAATCCAGAATTAGTTTGACAGAACAAATAAACATCATCAGAGACATAAAGCACAGTTCAGACTTGGGAAATAACTATCTAGAAAATGTTAGAAGATTCTTTGAATTAGCAGATATAAGAATAAAAGTACAAACGTTCCAGAATTTCACTAATGCTGTAATTTGAATATATTGACTTATTTAAGAAAATAATGGGGCTGGAGAGATGGCTCGGTGGTTAAGAGCAGTGGCAGCTCTTCCAGAGTACCCGGGGTTCCATTCCCAGCACACACATGGCAGGCAGCTCATAACTGTCTGTAATACTAGTTCCCGGGGATCTGACACCCCACGCATATATATATATATATATATATATATGCAGGCAAAACACCAATGCATATGTAAATGAATAAATAAAATGAAAAAAAAGAAAATGAAAAAATATAATTAGCATTACTGCCCTAAATGGCACATGGTATCACAGAATTAATATTTCAATATCAACTTGAAAAAGAAGCCCAAACCTTTCAAGTTCTTTCTTTTGTCCTCCAAATGCAATCACAGTTCTGATGGCTGCTAAGACTTCTTCAGCAACCGCTCCAGCCTTTGCGTACGCCTGGAGTTCTTTATCGGTGAATGAAGATAATATCTGTTTAAAAATGCAACTTCAGATTATTAAAAAATTAACAACTGTAAATAAACAAATGCTGGGTGAATATTAGTACATGTGAAGAATTAAATCTTTTAGTTGTCTTTGGCCATGATATTCTATTAGCATAGATATTTATATAAATAGATATTTATTTATATATCCACTATGTAAGACATCTCAGGTTCCTTTTTCTTCCATTTTTTTTTCACAATGAAGACATATAACAAATTAGATGAACTACAAAATTTCCCCCTGAATATTCCATGGGTCCTCATCAAAACAACAATTGGAGCTTTGGAAGATGTTACATTTCAGAAAAGAAAACACACGCCACAACAATCATAAGCCATCATAGAAAACGGGCTTTACGGCCAGGACGTGCGGTACTCCCACCAACTCTTAGTGATACCCTGGCTCAGAAGTGCTAGAAGAGGCTAGAAGAGTGCAGAGGACCAAGCCACAGTTCCTCTGCTGGAAATGCCTGGAGAAACAGAACATTCATCCACCAGGAACGTTTTTTTGTTTCAACATTGCTCTTTGATCTGTCTGTCTGATCCGAGCATTTGTAAGAGACATCCGTAGCTCCCTTGTCTGTTCTTCTCAGCTAGAAAGGGAAACAGGCTTTCCCAGCTTATGTGGAAGTAAATGGAAACTTGACAGGCTGAGCACTTAGGCAGTAAGCAGAATATCCAGGATTCATTAGGTAGTAAGCAGAATACCCAGATTCAGGTGGGAGCCCCTACGGTCACAGCTTGGATGAACGGCTACTGGAGTGATCTCTGAAACATCTGAACTGTTATGACAGCTGAGTCAACTGCTATGGGGAAAGGACTGAGCTTACCACTTGGACAAGGAATGACAAAGTGGTCCACCATCTAAATAAGCATCATGCACACCGACATCACAAAATTCTGAACTAACAGCTTTGCATCCTTTCAATATGCAATCACAGTCATTTGTTTTCATTATCTAAGTGTCAGAAATCAATTCCTTCTTGTCATGAAAAGAATCAAAGCCTTTTTCATTTTCATAGTACACATCTTCTTTACTTGTGTGTGGAAAACAGAAGGAGCGACCGTAAACATAGGAATGGGGTGCTGAAGGAAAATGACTATTTATCAGTAATGTCTGTCTGTAGACATTATGCTGAAGGTATCTGTCTTCGCTGACCCCCAAACAAATCCCACTGATTATCCAGACCTCCAAGACTCCTGAAAGCCGTCCTCTTGGAGCTGACCCAGACTGATGGATCTTTCCTGGGTCTGAGTCAGGCTGGACAGCACTGTCCCTGAGTGAGCAAGGTAGCAGAACCCAGGGAGCTCACACGACACGCTTTAACCATGCTTCTCTTCACTCCCCAGGTGCTCACATGGAGGCAGCCGACACCAGGATTACTAGTATTTTTTAAACTAGGAGTTGGGGTGAGCTATTTTAATTTGTTCATCGATCCAAAACATTTCTGAATTCAACCGATCTTTTTTTCCACCCATACCCTTCCGTAATTATATGGAGATGGGATTTTGAAAAGGAGTCTTTATGAAATTTTTTCCCTCGTAACAGATCATGTCTGTTAGAAGAAGAAAAACACTTTCTCAGGGAACCCCAAGGAAGAGGAGGCAGAAAGAGCGTAAGCGCCAGAGGGGATGGAGGACACCGGGAGAACAAGGTCCTCTGAACCAGCATGATCAAAGCTGATATAAACCTGGAAACTGGAGCAGCATGCACAGGACTGACACAGGTCTGCACCAGGTCTTTTGCATATATATTACGGCTTCTAGTTTAGTGTTTTTATGGGATCCCGAGTGTGGGAACGCGTGGGTCTCCATTTCTTGTGCCTTCTCTTGGGCTCTTTTCTGCTTGCCTGCTTGGTCCAATGCCAATGTGTTAGATACACTCTTATATTTTATTAGTATCCTTTAGAGGCTGGTTTCCTAATGACAGTCAGAAAAGACCCAGATGGGAGGGAAGGGTGGGGAAGAACTGGGAGGAGTAGGGGGAGGGGGAACCGTAATTGAGATATATTATGTGAGGAGAAAATCTATTTTCATTGTTTTCTTTGGGGGGGGTTGTTTTGTTTTGTTTTGTTTTTCAAGACAGGGTTTCTATGTGTGGCTTTGGAGCCTGCCCCGGAACTCGCTCTTGTAGACCAAGCTGGCCTCAAACTCACAGAGATCCATCCATCTGCCTCTGCCTCCCGAGTGCTGGAATGAAAGGCATGAGCAGAGGGGTCAAGACCACGCTGGGGAAACCCACAGAAACAGCTGACCTGAGCAAGTGTGAGCTCATGGACCCCAGTCTGACAGCTGGGGAACCAGTATAAGACCAAACCAGGCCCCCTGAACATGGCTTGGGCATTCTATAGGGCCTCTGGCAGTGGAACCAGTATTTATCCTTAGTGCATGGACTTTGGGAGCCCATTCCCTATGGAGGTAAACTGTCTCTGCCTAAAAACATGGGGGAGGGCCTAGGCCCTGCTCCCAAAAATGTGACAGACTTTGATGATCCCCCATGGACGGTCTCAGCCACTCTGAGGAATGGATGGGGGGTTGGTGGTGGGCAAGGGAGGACAGTGTCTAACACATTGGCATTGAACAAAGCAGGCAAGCAGAAAAGAGCCCAAGAGAAATTAAAAAAAGAAAATGAAAAAAAAGAAAATTTCTAATTTTTTCTTAGGGATATGAAAAGCCAGCTTTATTAATTCCAATATAAAGTTAAAAGTTGTCTAATACTGGCAATTTTATATTACCTATAATCCCAAGTAATACATTGAGAAACAATATTTTAAACTATTATAGGTGCTCTGACCACATTTGAATTCAGTCTTTCCATTTCTCAGTGTAGGCTTTTATTTGATCATTTTATAAATACCTCATGCTCTTTAATGATGCTGAGATACTTAGGGGATCATATGTCGAAAACAATGCATTGACATTACATATGTCCTCTATAGTAACATTTTGAAAATTACAAGAATACTAGGTTTTTTATTTGTTTTTGTTTTTTTGTGGGGATGATTCAAGACGGGGTTTCTCCATAGGTTTGGAGCCTGTCCTGGAACTCACTCTATAGTCCAGGCTGGCCTCAAACTCACGAGATCCACCTGTCTCTGCCTCCCAAGTACTGGGATTAAAGACATGTGACACCACTACTGCCCAGCTCAGTATGCAGAGCTTACATTTTCAGGTGGTTATCTAAGTTTTGTATTGTATGTGAAAGACTGTGGAAGGTATTATTTCAACATCAGTTTCTACACATTTATCACTATCTGCAAAAAAAAATGCAGTTAGTCTGCTATTCTGTGGCCTTTCTACACAATCATTGCACAGATTACTTTGTAGACTTCTTGGAACTTTTATGGAACAATCATATAATCCACAGTTTTCTTTCTTCCTCACCAATCTATATGCCTTTTGATGTTTCTTGACTTATGGCAGCAGCTAGAGTTCCAGTGTTTCAATGAAAAAGAAGTCAGAAGAGATATCCTTGTTTCATTTCCAATCTGATGGCAAAGATACCTTTTTACTAATCAGGTGTCTGTGGGGTTGTCTGAGTGTCCTCTATAGAGCTGGTGACATTCTTTTACTCTTCTGAGAGTTAACATCGGTGAGTGGTAGATATTGTCGAACGTTTGTTCTGTCAGGTGATGTGATCATTTATTTTCTTTAGCATATAGTAACACTGATCACATGGCTCTTCAAGGGTCATATCATTATTACATAGCTGAAATAAATCTCACTTGGTCATAACGTATCTCACTTGGTCATAACATATAATTCTTTTTATATACTGCTGGGTTAAGCTTGCAATCAGTCAAATTTCCCAATACAGGACTTTTTTTTTCCTTTTCTGGTTTATCAAAAAACTTCCTTATTCCTTTACACTTTATGGTATGATAACTTTTGGTTATGATGTATATGTTACAAATTTCTTTGATTTTTTATCCTACTTGGGATTAGGTTAATTTCTTGCAGCTGGTTATTGTGTTGGTCGGCCACTGGGTCTGCAATTCATCCTAAAGCTCTACCCTTGTCCTCTTCTTGTGAGGTTCACGACGATGATATGAATATTTTTTATTGTCTCACATGACCCTGAAACTCTCCTCATTTTCTGTGTTTCATTCACTGATTCTGAATATTATGTTCTATTTTATAATTTCCATTTGCATAGATGGAGCCCATTATACAGCATGACTGTTTTTACTGTTATATCTTTCGGTTCTCTGATGTCATTATTTTCTTTTTAACAATTTCCTATTTTTAGCTGGTGAGTTTTTGCTATTGCCTTAAAAGAATCTAAACAAATGAACCATTTTATAGTAGTTATTTTAAAATCATAGTCTGATAATTCCAATATCTTACCCCAGAGTGTGTATCAGTAAAGTGTGTGTGGGGTGTTTGGTGCATGACACGGGCCTTTCTATCACATTCTGGACATTTTGTCTATATTAGGAAACCAGGACACATCCTTTTTAATATAGTCAAAAGCCAAGGTCAAAAAACATGCAGAAAATCATATCAAAAGATTACCAAAGAGTAGAGATTAAAAATAAAACAACAGATAGCCAAGGGCACCCTTCATTAAATAAGTAGTATCAGAAGCAATACAAGATTAGTTATTAAAAATTAAGTAATGGTCTGTTTTGCCAACTTAGAGTAGATATCAATACTTTAGTTTTTCATTAAGTTCTGTTGTGAGGAATTTGCACCTAACTTGAAAGCTTTGCCAGCTCTCGGCTAACTGATAGCCATCAGGAACATTGTTTTCATTGTGTTCCTGAGTAGCAAGTTAACAGCATTCAGGACTTCAGTTACTCCATCTGCTAAATGAGCTAACGTCTACACTCCAGCTGTATCTGGTGGACACAGACAACGCCTGATGAAGGCTTCATTTTGAACTTTCATTTCTTATGACTTTTATTACATGTAGCCTCACAAAATCTAAATACTGGGAAAATCTCTCCATCACACAGCTACACTTACATCAAATGACTTTATAAGATTAATTACATGCCGACCCAGACATGGAAAATGAATCACAAATTTGTGAGAGGTGGTCTGGAAAGATGGCTCAGAGGTTAAGAGCACTGGCTGCTCTTCCAGAGGTCCTGAGTTCAAATCCCAGCAACCATATGTTGGCTCACAACCATCTGTAATGAGATCTGGTGCCCTCTTCTGGTGTCCAAGGATGAATGTTGTATAAATAATAAATAAATAAATCTTTTAAAAAATTGTTAGAGGCATATGGATGGAGTGAAGAGAACTTCTGTGTCTTCATGACTGAAAGAGATAACTAGAGGCTACAGATTTACATGTGTCCATGGCTGGACAGTACTTCCATAACTATTTTACTGCAAATGGATATATACATTCACACACATACATACATACATGTATATATATATATGTATGTATAAAGAACCATTTGCACCTATGACAAAATGGTAAAGTTAATTTATAGAATAAACAAATCTATGCACATTCAAAACATTAAAACTGAATGAGGCATTTGGTTTACACTGAATTTGAACCTCTATTTTCGGTAAGAAAATGGCATTGTCATATTTAGTGATTGTGGTGGTTTGAATGAGAATGACCCTCATGAGCTCCTATATTTGAATACGTGGTCTGTAGTTGGTGGAACTGTTTGGAAAGGATTAGGAGGTGTGGCCTTGGTGGAGGAGTTGTGTCACGGGGGGTATATTTTGAGATTTAAACAGCCTATGCCATCCCCAGTTAGTGTCCCATTCTGTCTTGTGCTTGCAGATAAAGATATAACTCTCAGCTACGTAGCGAGTGCCATGCCTGTCTGACTACTGCCATGTATTCTGCCATGATGGTAACGGACTAACCCTCTGAAATTGTAAAAAAAGTCCCCAACTCTTCTTTATATAAATTCCTTCAGTCATTGTGTCTCTTCATAGAAATAGAAAAGAAACTAAGATTGATGTTTAGGGATCTTATGGGTTCCCATCTTTTCCCATGAAGGTGAAGGATAAGCTTAACATTGCCTTCCTTCTTTTGCATTGCCTTTTACAAATAATCTCATGGCCAAGGATAGCATGAACTATGAGGCTAGATCACGTATAAAACTCACAGTCAGGGTCAGTATGATGAAATCGACTCTTCTGTGGATCCTGGGAAAGAGTTTAGAATGTGGACTCACAGGCTTCACCTACCTTTGCCCAAATACCAGCCGACAGTCCAAGAACGGGGCTGATGGCCAAAATCACAAGGGTTAGCTTCCAGCCTCGAGTAAATCCTATTATGAAACCACCAAAAAATGTTGCCATTGCCTGAAAGAACATTCCAATTTTGTCACCAATTCCTTCATTAATTTTGGAGACATCACTAAAAGAAGAAAGAGATTGTGTTACAAGTAATGGCAGAACTGCAAATACAGAATTTTTCTACTGAGACTAGTTTTGTTTTGTTGAGAGGGGGTAAGTTAATTTGTGCCTAGGATCTTTGTATATGCCTGATCCTTTAGGGGCGCAGTGATAGAGGAAATCTGTCAGTTTCCAGTAGGAGGTTTGTCATAAACAGTATCCTATAGCCCGTGTGGCCTCAGAATACAGACATGGGACATTTAAGACTATTCACTGTGAAATTTCAAACTGCTCAGAGTTGTGTGCATATGACGCCGTCTTCTATGAACACAAATCTTTGAGTTCACTGAATCTTCTGTGAAGCTGAGGCTGACACACAGGAGCTCCTTCCTCTCTTCCTTCTTTCCAGTATTTTCCAGGGACACCAAGGAGGCCTGACAGGATGGCGCTCAGGGGGATGGACAGGCCACATCGCTGCTCCCCTGCACATGGATGCTGTGCTAACTCTGAAGGCTTCTTGACTCTGCCAGTCTAATCCCTCACTGAGTGCCAGTCAAGCAGGAGCTCCACCCTCATCCCTGCCAGGGCACTGTGAACCAGATGCTGTGTAAGACGCGGGCACTGCTCGCAAGGGCTTTACTCTGCTCAGTGATGCGTCAACACTCCTAACATGGCGGTAGTATCTACTTCACAGCACTGAGAACAAGACCGTATCTGACTTCAGCATAAAACTGGGTACTCACTCTGTGAGCCGGGTGTTCAGCTCCCCAACGTCGTGCACGTCAAACCAGCCTATCTCCTGATTCATTATAGCATGGAAAAACTTCTGTCTGATTTTGTGTATCTGTCTTCCAGCTGCCAGGCACCAAAATGAAACCTGAATGTAGGCAACTATGAGCACACCAGCACCGATCCCCGTGTAATAGTAGGCATACCTGTAAAACAAGAACACTGTACATGCTGTGTTCCAATCAGCCCTTCTCTCTGAACACAACTGAGCCTCACTCTTCAGCTCTAGCTGGTACTTCACCATCCTTAGCAAACCAGAAGGGGCTGTGAGGACCAGAGCTGTCACTGTCAGCATCTACCTGTGTCTGTGGCACTACAGAAGAATGGCTTTAAGGTAAATCCCAGCTCTTAACTGAACTACCTTGTAAACCAGGCAGGATGCTTAATAACCCAATTTCAATTATGTATTATTACAAAAAGAGAAGGAATACATTATGTCTGGAAGGTATTCAGGCCAGGGTCTAGTACATAATAACTACTAACTACTCAGAGAATGCCAGTGATATTAAAAGGTCATTAGTGTACTGACACATCTGTTCAGGTCAACAGTTGCAGTCTTGTCTGCTTTTATTACAATAGTCTCAATTGATGAAGCCTTTAGGGTGGTCTGTACACCTTGGAAGAGGGAAAGATGTGATGGAACTTGTTAGAAAATAGAACCAAGAGGTGGAGATGGTCCTCCGATGTTTTGAACTATTAGTTTAGCAGAGCTTGGAAGATGAATGATAGCAGAAAATTGATAGTGTTTCCATGTTACATACTCAACTGGGTATTGAGAGCTAACCTAAAAAGTTCAGTAAATCGAATAGTTTCCCTCCCATTTTAAACATACAAGCAAACCTTTTAGAAAAGTTGAACAAGTGCTTTCTTGCCTTGTCTCTATAGCTAAAACTACTACAGCTTCATTAAACACTCTGTATGTAGGTTAAATAGAAACCCTGTTTTGTTTTCCTGGTGCTTTCCATGGAACTTTGGGTCTCATCCATGCTAGCAATATACTCTACCACCAAGCCACATCTCTTTCAAGGAAAATATCCTAAAATGAACTGAAGGATATCATTTGGTATATTTAAAATGTTCTTGACTAGCATTCTGAGAAAAAGAATGCTTATACCAATTACTAGGATTTAAAAATAGACATAGCCTTTTATGTTATGTCCACAATTTCAAGAGCAACCTATCAGAGTGCTCCAAGCTGCATCTTATAAACTATACTTATTAAAGGTATAATTGGAACATTAAATTTGAGTTAATAGATAACTATATAATTAATTAATTGCTCTCTAAGTGCTAAAGCAAGAAAGAGTTCAAAGCAAATTCCATTTAAGAAGCAAAACTTCCCTCATAGGATCGAAGACAGATCAGGCACCAGAGTGACCTCGAGTGATCTAAAGGTATAACATTAATTGGCAAGCTAAGCAATAGTGGAGGGACCACCTCGAATGCCCATTCCTGATAATGAACTTGATGTCTATAACCATCCGGGAGCCTTCATCCTGTGACTGATGGAAGCAGAGGCAAACACACAACTAAGCACTGAACTGAACCCAAGGAACCCAGTGACAGAGAGAGAGGAGTGATGAGCAAATTGGCAAAGAATGGGCTGGCAAAACCAGCAGAGACAGCTGATCTGAACAGGGGAGTGCTCTTGGACCCCAGACCGACAGTGGGGAGGCCAGCATGGGACTGATCTGGACCCCCCAAATGTGAGTGTCAGTGAGAAGGCCTGGGCAACCTATGGGGCCCTGAGCTGTGGATCAGTGTCTATCCCTGGTATACAAACTGTCTTCATGTGCCTATAGCACAAAGAGAGATGCTCTCTCAGCCTGGACTCTTAGGGGAGTGCCTTGACCCTACCAAGAGTAAAATGACAGACTCTAGATATCCCCTATGTGGAAGGATTTGGCAATAGGGTGGGAGGGAGGGGGGGAAGGGGAGTGCGGGAGGAGGGGAGGGAGAGGGAACTGGGATTGACATGTAAAACAAGCTATTTAAAATTAAAATAAAAAATGATAAAAAAAGAAGCAAAACTTCTACATGAAATACTGATGTACTTTTGTAATACATTTTGTCCAATTAAGAAGTAGTGTTTCTCCTGTATTAAAATTTTCCTCATCACAGTGAGATTTATAAGTATTTTAGCTTCATCTTTCATAATTTTAGTGTATCTCTACTTTGTTCACAACTACCAGAGAAATCATAGTACAGTACAGAACCATTATCATCTGATTCACCAACACATGCTTTTGGACATATATTACAAGCTAGTAAATGTCAATAGACATAAATCATTAACAAAATTAAAGAGTCTGCCTATGTCATTTAAGGACAGAGTGACTCTATTTCTTCGGGATGTTGTATTTTCCTATTTAGAATTAGATGTAGAGTTTGAAGAATTTCTATTGGCTTATATCATTTACCAATGACTGGAAACAGCCAGAAAACAAACTCCTCACTAGGGAGCTATTGAAAATATCTACTGTGAATTCAAATATATCTAAAGGTTTTTCCACCTCCATGCATATGGTATTTTATCTTTGCAACTGCATACATAAGTCTAATTGAGGTTCAACCTTAACTTAGTACATTTTATGATACAAACATTTTGCTTTAAAAATCTATAATAGATCTCCCTTGAAAACTAATAATGGTAGTCTCAAAACTTCTAATTTTATTATTTTAATGTAAACCATAGCTATATCACTCTAACTATATCGATACAGAAAAGAATAATAAAAGTAAAGATAGCATGTAATTACGTGGTCATTTCTTCTTCCAGTTTGCTAAACAGGTCTGAAGCATTGAAGAGAGCTGGAATAACACAGAACAAACATAAACACCTTTAAGTTTCTTTGGTTCCATTAAAATTCAGCATACAGAAATACCAAAAACTTATTAAGAAAAAGAGCTCTAAGTGACTCAGTATCATTGGTGTAAAAGCATTTTGACATCTGTTCAAATACTGCCCTGCCGACCGAGTATAATTACACACAACCTATGTTCAGCGATTCATATTTGCTAGAAAAAACATACAGTGACAAATATTACTACATGCTTGACTCTCAAGATACACTAAACATAACAATATAGTTTTCCGCTTGCTTCATTTGAGACAGGATCTTATGTAACCCAGGTTAGCTTCAAATCTCCCCTACTTACGACCCTCCTGGATCTGCCTCTGAGTACTGGGACTGTTGGAGTGTAACATATGTGATTGTTGGGGTGTAACATATGTGACGCTGGGGACTGAACCTAACACACGAATGCAGGGCTGCATACATGCTGGACAATTGCTCTACTCAGTTATTACATGTCAATTATAGTGTTATAAATGAAATTGACAGGCATCATTCAATATTATGAAACACTAATGTTGAACTGAGTATAATCAAAACTCTTTCATAATTTCACTATGCCTATAAACACAAATTACCACTACTCAATGTTATTTTCAGGTCTTTCAAGTATACATGTGTACACATGCAGAAATATATGCATACAATTTTTTGAAAAATTGAATCTCAATGTCAACGGAGATTTTTGTTGTCTGCAACACTTACTGTTACAAGCAATGATGCACCACTACACAATGGTATAATATGTAGATATCTATAGCAAATATTTAATAGGAGAAATTACCACAATTAAGACTGTAGATGAACATTTTAAACCTTGGAATCACTGCAAAAAGGTTAGAGTATGGGAAAGATTCATAAAGATGAATGTGATTTGGCAGGTGTGAAGAATAAATAAAAAACCACCATTGGCAAACTAAGCGGAATGAACTGAAAGTCTGTAGCACATTTGAAGAGAGTATGTTCCAGTTTGGATGGAGTATGGGAATGTGTCGTTTGGATGTATGGAGCAGGATATACAGTAGAAACATAGTCAGAACTAGGCCACCATGGAATACAAAGACAGACTAGTAGACATGCAATAGCTGTGAAGTAAAATGGATACAGTCAGAAGTGTGACCCTGGGAAGCTTTAACATTCAACAATGTATAATTTTAAGAAACCTCAAAGAGGTGGCCTGGAAAAAAATTAAGGAAAATTATGAATTCAGTGTTGAACATTGTCTTTTGTAACTGAAGATGTCTAGCAAGTAAGTGTCTAGAATATGTCTACCCAGTTCTGGAGGGAATTCAGACATGAATCCTAAGGAATCATATGCTAGAGAACACAGGTAAATTTGGGAGAGGAAAAACACCATGTCTTTTTAGCTGTAAAAGCAAGATGTCACACAGAGTGCAAACAGCAAGCTATGCCTAGTCACTTGGGGAACTGGAAGGGCGTGACAGAGAATAAAGGAGCAACTCAGAGATGGGAAGGCAGCAGTCAGGCGGAGTCAGGGGCTGCTTGCCCTGTGCTGGGCAGCAGGACATCCCCAAGACTGAATGTTCAAGTTAAGTTCTGTTCTAATTTTTCAAAGATAAAAGAAGATATTAAATCACTTGGTGAGGATTTTTCACAAAAATTAATCTTGGAAAATCTCTTATTGTGGACTTTCTATCTTCTTTAACTAGCCAGGAAATGTTTCTAGGTAGTTCGTTGCCACAAAGGTCTATAATTGTCAATTCAAGATAAAATTCTCTAACAAAAATATGCTTTTTTTTTTCCTCCATGTGATTCTAGGTTGGATACTCCACATCTGAACACTCCTTATCTAAAATTCTTGGGACTAGAGATATTTCTGATTTCAGAATTCTCAGTCTGGAATACTTGCATATCTGCTCCTAGCACAACACCACTAATCTAAGCCTTAAATCTCAAACGAGAGGCCTGATGCTCAAAGACTGCCAGAGTCTGGGCCAGCTTTTGAGATGTTCAGTCTGTGTTATCATTTTAATTTTATCAGGAACCAAAATAATTTTCAGAAAAGCTCTTTGGCTATTGTGACTTCTGAGTCTTGAGTCATTTTTGTACAGCTTGAAAAGAATAAAATGTCAAGGTCAAAACTGGCTGTCGTTCATGTCTGCAATTGGGCTATACATCTAGCACCAAGGACTGCTGCCCAAAACAATAGCAGCAATGAAGACCACTTGAGTAGTATCAAAAGTTGATCTTATTTTGTGGTGAGAAAAACCAAGAGTTCTCTAGATTACAATGGTTCTATTGGCCATTAGCTTAGTGAGGATGGCAAAGCTAAACTTCGCCTAGCTTTTAATAGATTACTCAGCCCCTTGACTGCTATCTGGTCCCGACTGCTGGAGTCTCACCTTTCTGGTTTCCCACCACTCTTACTCTTCTCCCTCAATTCTCCTTCTCTGGATCTTTGTGCTCTTCCTATACACTAGTGATTCCCAGAATTCCATGAACATTGCCAGGGTGAGCTTAGCCACTTGTACAGTGTCTGTCCTTTCAAAATCTGCATCTGGAGATGTTCAAAACCATCCTGTCTTATGACTAATGCTCTAGGTCCTCAACATATTTTGGTTTTTGTGTTTTATTGTTTGATAATTTCACACATAGAGATAACATGTTTTTATTACATCTGTCCCATCTCTTTCTCTCTAATTCCTTCCCTATTCCTCTGCTTTTCCCTTCTACCTTCATGTGCTCTTATTAAAACCCACTGAGTCCACTTAGTGCTGCCTGTATGAGCTTGGGTACCAGACCATCTACTAAAGCGTAAGTTGCCTCTCATGGCTTGCATTTCTAATGAAAACCAGCTGTCCTGACCCAGAAGCTGTCACCTGTGTACACTTCCTTAGCTAGGGGCAGAACTTCCTGAGCCTCTCTCCTATCCATGTGGGACTCAGACTGGCTTGATTTTGTGCAGTTCTTGAGCATGTACTCATAGCTGCATTTGCTTCATGCTTGACTGTAACAAACACTTCCTAACTGAACTTTCCACTCAGAACACATCATTCAGGTTGTCATAACATCTCACCTTTGGAGATAACAATATAATCCTTACATTTCATTTATAATCTTCAGTGATAGTTCATGCTACAAAGGATACAAATCTGTGACATATACCTATATTTATTCCTTTGCAATCTTTCCATAGTATACACTATGCACAACAGAAGAGTCTTTTTGAAATTTTAATCATGATCTTCTAGATTTCTTTTTGATATTGTTTTTTCAAAACAGGGTGTCTCTGTGTAGCCCTGACTGTCCTGGAACTCACTCTGTAGACCGAACTGGCCTCAAACTCACAGTGATCCACCTGCCTCTGCCTCCCAAGTGCTGGGGTTAAAGGTAAGCACCACCACTGCCCAGTGATTTTCTGGATTGTTTAACCCATCTTTCTTCTGAATTCTAGCAGCTATGAAACTATGCAATCACTGTTACAGCAGAAAGCTGCTGTCACAGAAATGAATAAATAAATAAATAACAGGATTATGTAGCTTTCTTCTTGGCTTTTGCATTCCCCAACCCTATTCTTTTAAGGGTTGAGGAGGAAAATGGCCAAAACCAAATACTGTTTAAATTCATGGGACAAAGATCCACTTCTTAGGACTCAGAAATATTTTCTGCGTGCCTCAAAGAAGAGACGCAGTTGAGAACTGATGAAAGAACAGACCCTGAATGGTCCAGGAAGAGAAGCCAGCCTCTGGCCACCTATGCAGACCCCAGAGTGAGAGCTCAGAAAAGGAATGATTGCATAATGCATTGAGAAGACACCCACAGGACCTGGGGAAATTCAGAGGAGCTGAATAATTCCAGTGCTCCCAAAGGAATCAGCGGGGAACAAAAAAGCTTGACTCAATTCCTGTGTAGGGGAGAGAGTATACCTCAGTGGTAGAGACTGCCTCGGTTCAATCCCCAACATCAGTCTAATAAACACCGATATGCTGGTCTCTCAGGTGAGACCTCAGTTGAAACATCTAAGCTACCCCAAACAATTGCCGCTTTAGATAAAGAAGGACTCAGAATTTTAATTATGTTGTATAAAAGTTGTTTTTGCACACTTGGGTTCTAAAATATCTCACTCACTACACAAATTCCCAGTCTCCACTCACAGCACCTCGTCACCCCCTTCCAGAGCTCTCTCTGACTCCATAGAGTCCCATTCACCAAGGAGTTTGCTGTTCTCCAAGTATTCTATCCACTTTTTCTTCAGTTCTTTTTTCATTTTCTTTCTTTACCTGATTATTCTACATTATCCCCCATGCCGAGGAAAACAGTCCTCCTCTACAAATAAGCCAAAAAAAAAAGTGACCTCTTCTCAAATGGCTTCACCTTAGCATAGTGGCTCACCCTGTCACAGAATCTCATAGCAACTGACACATGATTCAAATTGCGGAGTCAATGTAGATTGGAAGTATGACTGCTTCTGTGTGTCACTTCTCATTCCCCTGGGTGTAAAGTGAGAAAAACTGGATTATGTTTTCTCTTTGTATCCCCATGCTCAGCTAGTTATGTCTCTATAACCCAGCCTGTTCCAAAGATGGACAAGTAGTCTCATAAAGTCATCACCCCACCAGATGATTTATCAAAAATAGTCCATCCAGGCGTTCTTCTACTTATAAGGTGAAGTGTCACATAAGATTAAATATGAAAATAGTCTGCTGGGTCCTATGTAGTGAGGACAGTCTTTTGTTAAATCAAGTAAGACCCCAGAGAAACTTCACTGTGCACACAGCATGACTAAATTATACTCTGTGTCCTTTAGGGAATCACATCGTGTTACAGTTTTACCCAAACGAAGTACCTCAAAATGTTTAGAAATGTCAACTACTGAACACTCAAGAAAAGTATAAGTAAAAATATGCAACACAAACATATATATTTAGGAATATATGTGTCTGTATGTAACAACTTATGAGAAAGAGACCATGGATTTGAGAGAGGAGAAGAAAGGAGGAAATGATATAATTATTTTATAATCTTAAAAAAGGTTATTTTTCAATCCACCTTCCACATGGCCTTATTTCCATACACTAGGTATACCTAGAAGGAGAGACAACCTTTCTAAACCCACCGGGGTTACTATTCTAGCAGGGAATTCTTCCACCTTTAAGTCCCAAATTTCATGAGACAGGGTGACACCGCTGAAACCTCTAGCCAAGGTTTTCCCCAAACTTCCTTTTTATCCCCTATGGCTTTTCCCCACCCAAGAGGCCACAGTAGGCAGGCAGAGCAACCAATGAACAAGATAATTTCAGAGAAACGACTTCCAGTAAGCACTGTAGTGATGTTCTCACCACTGTGAGAACGAACAGGCAGGCAGGGGCGGAACCTCCTGAAGTCAGGAAGAAGTCCAAGAGCAATGAGATTCATGGCACAGGTGGGGATGAGCATGTCACATGAGCCACGGAATGCAAATTTGTTCCATGCTATGGGAAACCTCTGGCACAGACATGAGCAGACTTCTGTTTTTTGAAAAACTCACTGTGACACAATGTGGAGAACTGGACAGAAGCAGGCAGGAATGGGAACATAGCAAGGAGTCAGGAAGATGGAACCATGTATGAGAAAGACTGCAGACACAGCTGTAGCTGGGGCGAGGAGGCTGGACTCTCAAGGGGAGCTCCGCTTTGTGAAAGGTGCTTCCAGAGGCCAGCGGTAGAGAACCCGGCTCCGGCTTGCCTTCCATTTCTTTCAGTTTGGGCTGTCTCTCTATGAGATTTTTTCCTGGTGATCTTTCATGACAGGTGTCACTTACCCAGAGGGTTTTCTGATTTAAAAGTCATGGGAAGCCATAGACATGTCTGATCCACAGGGCCCCTTCTAGCTCTAAAAGATTATGATTTCAGAATGCTCCAGCAATCACAAGCAGGGGAAACCAGACTCTTCGCCTAGATGATCCACCTCCCACACATCTGTCCAGACGGGAGCCTGCCCTCAGCACCGCAGGCTAACCACCAGTGACACAGATGGTCTAGCGGTCATAGCCTCCCACCCCTGCTCCTTTCCCCCTATAAAGAAGAGTTGTGCCTGCCGACTGACCAACCCGCCATTCTGATCCTGCTACTTTCAAAATGGTGCTGATCCTACCGCCAAGACCTAACCACCTTCCAAAGCCACTGCCTCCAACACCATTGCAGCAAGAGTTAGGATGTCCCCGTGGTTTTGAAGGATGTAAGCACTGTCTGTCCTTAAAGGGGTCAAAAACAATTCACATCTAGGTGATGGAGAAGGAAAGCAGTATGAGCAATGACAGAGTTGGAAAAAAGACCACTAGATAAAACATGACGCGACACAACTGTCTCTGAAAAGGTCTGATGTTTTGTTGGTGGAAAATGAATGGATCAATACAGTCCTAGCCTGAGCTGTGGATTAATCCACAGATGGACTCGAAGTTTGAAGACATTCTGGGGAGGGGATGGAAACATTGAGGGGTGGGGATAATGGGAAGAAACTGGAAGCAAGTCACTGGGAGCATGCCTTTGATGAGCCTCTTGGCCTTGGGCTGTCTCTGCACACCCTCATGTGTGTCTGTACGTGTCCCTCCATCTGCCACTTCCTGGCCACTCTGAGGTGAACAGCCCATCTTCCACATGTATTCTTGCCACCATAATTTCCACTTTTTCTCAGCTTCAAAGCAACTGATTCAACTAAACTTGGAATAAAATGCTTGAAACTGTGAGTAGAAATAAACCTGAAAATTCCTTCCTTCAAGGTCTTCCTCTTAGGTAGGTGTCACAGCGCAGGAAAACAGATGAACACAACATGCTTACTTGAGTGTTGCTCACCAGAAGTCAGTTCTGCTAGTTTCTTCCCAAACTAGGTCAGATTTCAACATTTGAGTAATTTCCTTATTGACAGCTAAGTTCAACCCCTGTCCCTTCGTACTGTGTGCACAGCATGTCTAGTTAAGAGCTCTCACTGGTAGAGCAGTGTTTGCATTTAGATTTCACACAACACTGGGTAAGGTTAGAACAACATAAATGCATGCATTACGTCTGCTGAACTACTACAGAACCCTGAAAGATGAGCTTATTCCACTAGAAGCCAATGAGATAGCCAATCAGCTGCACAGCTTGCTGCTAAATATAGGAGTACAGGATCTGAAGAATTCAGAGAGCACCGCGGACTCTCCTTGGGCGAATGTCACAAAGGAGATATGACAGTTCATTGTTGACACAGGATATTATTGCAAGCTCTTTGAATATCATGAAAGGGGGGGTGGGGAGCAGACAAATTTTACAATACTCAAAAATAGTATAAAAATGTCCATCTTAAATCATTATTTGTATTAACAGAATTGAAGTTTATCTCAGGTAAACTACAGGTTCTTTAGGACAACAAAGTGGTTTGTTTCTAGGACCCAAGATGATTACCAAAGATTCCATTAATGTCCCTACTAATATTTACATGACTTTTTTTCAGGGAAAGAATCTACAGCATGCACCAGAGACTTAAAATCCAGATGTTGACATCCAAAGTCCTGGGTTTAATCTCTAGCATCAAATAAAAAGAAAATTCCAAATGCTGAAGTATCTTTGTAAGCCAAGAAATATCAATATCTTTTCAAGGTATGTCTTTTGGAGCAGTAATAGGAACTGAACATAGGATTTCTTGCATGCTAGGCATACCACTGAGATATAGCCTCATCCCTTCTTAACATTTTCCCCACCTATAAGCCTTTCAGTAGTCTAGTTGAGTAAGAATTCAATCTCTGCTTGGCTGGGGTGGCCTAAAGACTGAATCTTAGAGCTGCTAACCTGTCTCCCCCAGTCAAGTGTGAAACATACAAAGTCTTTCAACAGTTCATCCGCTTTCCTGCTCTCATCTTGTTTCTTACGAAGCAAATGTCTTACTTTCAAAATCATGAGAAAATTGAAATGCAAAACCCTCTTCACCACATTTAGACTTTTTGTGGCTGCAGTTTCCTGCAGTCGGCCATGAGATTGTAATACCTCACGTTATCACAAGAGGAAGGGGGTGAGAACAGCACTGTAAGGTATTTTGAGAAAGAGAAAGAGACCACATTCACATAGCTCTGAGTACAGCATATTGCTATATTTGTCCTATTATTGTTGTCACTAATCTCTTATTGTGCTTAATCCATAAATTAAACTTTGTCATGAATATGTAAGCATATGAAAAATATAATATATGCAGGTTTCTGCACTATCCATTGGCATGAATTACATGGTGACCATCACTATGTGACAAAGTTCCAGCATTTCAAAATTGCAGACCACATTTCTCCAGAACCTTTTCCTTTCATTTTTAATGATTCTCACTATTAATGGCCCTCCCTTTAGGAAATTTTGTTCATGCTTTAGTAAAGGATGAAAACGTACACAATGGTAGCCTCTATCTCCATCCCCTTGGAACCAGTAACCCCATTGTGCATTATACCAAGAACAGGAAAGTTAGAGGTTTACTAGACACACCTGACCCTGAGGATGAAATGCCTACAACTCAGATTCAGTCTGCGGCCACTAAGGGCAAGAGTTCAGTTAGCAAGTACAAAGAAATCAGAATGGTTCAGTATAATGGGAAAGAGTAAGGCATCAGAACCCTCCCTTTGGGGAGCATTATGGGGGAATAGGCCCATATAGTAAGACTAAGAAACTGTAATACAGTGTCTGCTCCCCAGAAGAAGTCATTTCCCAAGGTCAGGCATTTAGATAAGCGTCTCCCTTCCCTTGAGGGCTTGAGGAAAGTCCCTGCTTGACAGGACAGTCATTCTTGTCTCCAGTAAGAGGAACTTGTGGCCCTTCCATTAACATGCAGCTGGTGCCGATTGTCAAGGTCAATGCTAGATTCCTCTATCCCTGATCTCAAGCCACAGTCCTGCTCTCATGCCCCCAGTCTCCAGTTTAGTCCTATGTGCAACTATACAGTATGCAAGGTGTATTCCTCTTTTGCTTTAACCCTGCTGGCAGTTATCCTGATTCACCCTCAGATCCTGCCCACATCCTCCTCTCCTCCCCAGCCAACTCCATATGTCCTCTTTGAGACCCGACCTCCCCCTCACTGAAGCGGGTCTCTGGCAATTCATGGCTATGTATCCATCGGAACAAATCACTAGCGAGTAAAAGGGTCTGCCATCGTCAGAACGTTCTCACAGACCACCACCTCATGTGCTCACTTTGGACTGTGACACTCACTATTCGCTCCCTCTTCCTGGTTTTGAGAATGAACTGTTGCACCTATCTTATGCAAACATTTCCTGAGCACTGGATCTCATCCTTTCTCCCAAATCCCTTCTAACAAATCTCTTTAACCTTTTCTTGGTCCCATTTCTCCATTCCTGGATTTGCTCCCACAGAGCCTAACCCATAACAATATACAAAACACAATTGCTGGTATTTACTGCCGCTAAAATCTGCTGTACTTCCATGGTATCTTATTTGAGAGTGATTGTGTTCTTCTAGTTTCTCGGGTTAAAGGGTTTACAATCATCCTAGAACCTTCTCTTTTACCCACAGTCTGTCATAGCCTCTCACAATTATCTCTGATTAACCACTCAAGAACCTGATGAGATTCCTCTACTTCTTCTTGAAGCTTTATAGATTCCCTCTCTTTATACATAGCTCTGTCAGCACTCTCACTGGTTACTCCAATGCTTGTATCATCTTCTGAAGCTCACTACAAGAATGAGCTGGATTCCACACCCTACACCACCTAGACCACTAAGCACAATAGTGCATCCTTATTAAGACCCCACAAAGAATCACTTTAGGTTAGTGTTTTTTGCAAATTTCCAACACAATCAGTACCATAAACAATACTTACAGTCATTAAAAGTAGCATTTGGGGGGATGTTTCCTACATTTGCAAAGCTGTCTGTCATGTCTCCAAACACCAGCATCATAAGCGGGAGTGCAACTCCATGGATAATAGCAGCGAGAGTTCCCACCAGCATGTACAACCTATCCAGCCAACCTGCATAGCGAAACTACAAAGAGAAGAAAATAAAAACATAGACATTGGTAACTTATATGGCTGTTTTCCTCTACTCCCGAAATCTCTTTCAAATCCAAACTTTTTTTTTTAGGTACTAGCTTCTGGCATTCTGGCCCGCCTTTTCGTGACCTGGCAGTGCGGCTCGCCTGCACGCATGCCCAGTAGGCAGGCAGTGCCTTAGCCTGCTGTATGGTCCTTGTGTACATGCGTTGCGCCCCTCCCTTTAAAAGGCAGAAACTTGCCAGCTTTCTCTCTCTCTTCTTCCTCTTCCTCTCTCTGTTACCCTCTTCCCACCCCTCCCCGTCCCCCCCCCCACTCTGGCTCTCTGTGTTTCTCTGTGTCTGTCTCTCTGCCTCCCCGTTTCTCTCTGTGTGTCTCTGCCCCTCTTTCCCACTCCCTTATAAAGAAACCCTCCACTTGATGCCCGTTGTATGGTGTGACTCCTTCCCGCTGTTTTTAAAATCATAGCACCAGCTACTAGTTCAAGTTACCCTCTTTCATTTGCCTCTTTGCCCTCTACCCTAATACAACAATTGCTTAATAAAAAAAAGGGGGGGCATCTGATTCATTAGTGAGTCCTGTCTTAATTCTTCATAATGGAATAGTCTATCTTCTCTTTTATATGAGAGAATTATAAACGTTGTTGATGAGGTGATAGCAAAGATATCATAACCATTGCTTTAGTTCCTAAGACTGGAAACCACGTTTTGCTTGACGGAAAAAAAATCCTGAAAGCCAAACGCCCCCTTGAAGATGCCACCGAGGAAACATAAAGATCTGTTGCACCAAGGTATTATTATAGCTGTGAAATAATTTCAACATATCTGGAAAAGAAAAACAATTACTTGGATGGATATTTCCCGGGGACATGTTCTCTAAAGGCAGAATATGGTCACAGTGAATGACTATTGCAGACCAGCACCATCTCTCTAATCACAGGCAAGCCACGAGAGGAAAAAGCAAGGCTTATCTGAATCCAAAAAGTGATGGAGGATAAATAGCATGAGAAAAGTTAGTCCACGGTGTGTCTAGGGGCAGTTCACACCTCTGAATGACTCGAGAAACCGTGAAGGACTGAAAGAAAAAAAGTAAGAGAAAATGAAAATAGAAGGTGCCGATGTTAGGATTCAGGCATTATGCCAACATGCCCCTTGTCACCTGGCAGGATGCGCTCAGGCAGCACCTTGGCCAGCCAGGGTCCTGTGGCTGCTATGTCATTGTGTAGTCTGTAAGTAGGTACAAAGGTTTCTTTAAGAGGCAAACTCCGCCTACCTCTTTCTGTCATCTCTCTGCAAAGGCAGACAGATCTCTGTCTGTTCTCTGTCTCTCCCGCCACGCCTCCCCCCCCACCCTGCCTTTTCTCTGTCCCTCTCTTTCTTCTCTCTCCCCTCGTCCCACTCCCTCCCTTTCCCAATAAAACTTCATTCCCATGTAAGTTCTGCCTGACGGCGTGTTTGTCATGGGATCCTATGCAGTCCCACCTCGAGACGTATTATAACAACCGAGCTAACTGTAAGAGTCTGCAGACAGTCTCTGAGAAAAATGGCTGTGATGTGATGCACCATTTAGCTACAGGTAGCATGTTTGTAATCATGGGAGGAAAACTAGGTAAATGAAAGCATGAAGAGCAGGGATCAGGCGGTAGTACCAAAATGGCTACGAGTCTACAGGCGGTTGTCCTGTGTCTACATGTAGAGCTTTCTAACACAGGGAGGAAATAGGGTAAAAAGTCTTAACTCTAGGCAGGAGATGTAAACCAAAGTAAAGATCAGGAATCTGGGAACACAAAAACACAGAAACCAAGAATGTAAAGCTTATATCTACTTCAGAATGAAACTGAACTAAAAAATGGTACTGAGTTAAGTATTGCAATGGCAAATGGAAAAACAGGGAGTTAAAGAGCTCTGGCCAGTACTTAAAGGTACTCAATATAACAGGAGCCTAAACAAAGACAAGTTTTCAATTAGTGAAAGCTAAAGGTTGCCAATGTATTCTTCATCTTGTCTAAACAAATGTCTTTTTCCTTTAAAAAATTCTTTTTTTTTTTTTTTTTTTTTTTGGTTTTTCAAGACAGGGTTTTGCTGTGTATCCCTTGGCTGTCCTAGAACTCGCTTTGTAGACCCAGGCTGACCTCAAACTCACATAAATCTGCATGCCTCTGCCTTCCAAGTGCTGACATTAAAGGAGTGTGTCACTACTGCCTGACTGAAATTATCTTCTTTTAAAGAATCTATTAAATATGCCAAATACCACATCCTTCCGAAAAGGAAGGGAAGGTAACGGATAGACAAAGAATTCACTCATCACCATCATCATCAGTATTCTACCTCCAGAATTTCTCATTGACGAAAATGAAAACAAGGGAAGCGACGCATGATAATACCTCCTGACTGTTTAACTCAATGACAGATACAGGCCACAGGTTATACACCAAAGATATCTCACTGCCGAAAGCTTAAAGAGCAGGAGGAAGGGAAAGCAGAAAAGTACAGCTAGTGTACATTCTGTATGCTTTGCAGCAAGAGTAAAGAACAGACGTAACATTGATCATTCTCTCCCCTGTGGAAATCCATCATAGAATAAATGGCATTTCCTTTTAGTTTTGAAGGAAGAGCAGGAGTTCAGAAGCAAGATGGAAGGCATTCTGGCCAGAAAGAAGACCAAGCAGAAGCAAGAAAGACTTTGAGAAGATTAAAACTGCTCAAGTTCAAGGTCTGATATAAAAAACACAAAAATAGAGCATATTAACTACTAGGTACCCTTCATGGTGATGGGAAACTGGAAGAGTCAAGTGTTTGAAAGGATGGAGATCAGGGAAGTCTCTCGAGTGTTGTTTGCATTCTTATCCAGGACATGCTATCCAGGATGCAAAACCCTCAAATCTGAGGCAGAGTTTTATAGTGGTAGTCATAGGAGTGACTTAGGTCATGTAGGAAAAATAAGGGATGCGCAGAGTAAAGACAAATCTGGACACAAAGCAACAGAAATAGGATGTTAACTTTTCTTGACCTTGGAATAAAAAAAGGAAGAGAAAAGGTAACTAGCAGAATGTGATGCAAAGCCAATGAATGGGACTATTTCAGGATGCCCCAAATTTACAGGTAAGCCAGACAAAGACACGAAACATAGGTAAAAGCATAGGAAGTAAACAGGGGTAATATCCTACAAAACAAAGGTAACCAGGGAAAGGCTATCATCTATAGAAAACAAAATTAGTAGGTGAGGCAAGATAGTTCCATGATGCCCTATGATCCCTTTCCATTGCTAGGGGAGGGGTATACAAGCTGTCATCGTCATGTCAAACAAGTGATCGGAGAGTACCATAAACAAATGGGGAATACCTAGACATTTGATGTCTTTAGAATTATGAGTCATAAGGGATAAAAATTCCCCCATGTAATTTGTTTGCTAAAAATGTTTCTTATGGATATAATAAAACATTTAGATGTAATTTCCATATAGAAAAACCCAAGCATGGAAAACTAAATCTAATGACGTCACAAGGCAGTGACATAACTAGATTAGCAGGTGGGATATTCTATAGTCCACTGGTCCATCCCTTTCAGGTGATTCTAAAGAGAAAACGATGAATTTTGTCACCAACTGTCTTATTTTGGACAAATCAAGCATAAAACAAAATTATTTAATAATTTGGAAAAACTGAATACAAAATCATAATAGTAAGAAAGTATTGCTCATTTTGCTAAATGTGATAAATATATTTTATAGGAAAAGTTTCACAGAAAACCCTTTGAAATGAATAAAATGAGAAGGCTATATATGAAATGCCAAGAAACTTGTGGATGTAATGGAAACATGACCTGGCAGTATGTTAATAATTCCTAGCAATGCATGATGGATGTATGAGTCTGAAGTTTCCTATTCTATCCTTTTATATTTGAAATTTTACTTAGTAAAATGACAAAGAGAAGATATTTCCAAAGCGTGGAGACGTATTTCTCTTCATCTCAGACTGGAATGAATGAACTAAGAATGAATTCCAGCAATAGAGATAGAAAGATAAGTCAGCTCTCTCCTATTCCTTTGTGACTTCTGGAAGAAAGAATGAGATCTGAAGAAAGTAGCAACACAGTGTTGAGTAGGATGGAAGCCTCCACCAAATGTCTCAGTTGTACAATTTATTAGGAAAGTGACTGGGGTGGGCAAGTAGAGGATCTATTAGTAACCTTGAGTCTCGCAGAAGAGGGGCAGAAGGCTGTAAGTGCCCGAGGACCAGGAAATCCGCTGTGAGGTTGTGTCTCCTAGTAATGACCGGGAAACTTCACTCGTGATAACAGGATAAGACTCGCATAAACAAGACCTGAACAAAACATGCAAACGTGGATGGAGAAAGTCTTATGGGGGCCTCACCTCCAGACAAAGAACCATAGGTGACTAAGAGCTGCTGAGAGAGGGAGAACTGGTCTTTCTCAGGAACGAACCCTTAATTGGTTATCCAATACCAAGTGTCAGTCCCAAAATCATACACATATAAACAATACTAAACGGACTCAGCAGGTAGAATTTATGTATCGATGCATATATACACAATTAAGTAACCTGGCCAGGAGGCCAGGAACTTGAGGGGTTGACATACAGAGGTGGAAAAGGAATGGGGGAACATTATGAAATTATATTATAGCTTAAAGAATTTGAGCCTCGGTTTTGGAATAAAAAAATTCACACAGCTGTTACAAAGATTACCATGTTGCAGAAACTTTTATCAAGAAGGTAGTATGAAACATAAAATACCCCATTACTATAATTGATTTGCAAACATAACAATAAGAATTTACAGTCAAAGAATAAGCAGACAAATTGTAACATATCAGATGCAACGTAAGACTGGATAAAGGCATTACCAGCTATAGTTGCGGCCTTTAAAATAAAAGGAAACTGAAAATTTTTGGTTGGAGGCTAGCAAAACGGGCAGAGAAAGTAAACCATGAACACAAAATTACTGGTATTGAAAGCTAAAAGTGGATAGTACAG